ATTCTTTCTTTATTAAAAAAAAAAAAAAGAGCTAATGGACAAAGTAGCCTGGGTGGGGTGGGGGAGGAGGGAAGGACAAGGTCACATTGCTTATTGTAGCCACACTAAAAATCAAACTGTTTGAATGACAGCCTTCAGTTGCTTGGGCCATCCTCTGGAGTGGAGTGGCTGGGTGCCCGGAGCCTCCCCCCCCGCGTTCTTGGGCGTCTGGGTGAGGAGGCTATGGAACATGGGGAGGAGGGTAGGCGGTTATACAGTGGATGCAGCGGGGGTCTGTGCTCTTGTTGGCTTTCCTGCAGCTCCAACAGACACTTGATCATATCCATTTGCTCCTGCGTTAGCCTCAGCATCGCGTCCTGCCCTCGCTCTTCACGCTCACTTAATTCTTTCCTGGCCTCTGCCACTGAATGCCTCCATGCATTAAGCTGTGCCCTATCAGTGCGGGAGGACTGCATGAGCTCGGAAAACATGTCATCGCGAGTGCGGTTTTTTTCACTTTCTAATCTGCGATAACCTCAGGGACGGAGATGATAGGGGGAGCGTAGAAACATTCTACGCTCTACGATTCTGGGGGGACTGCATGGTCACTTGTGCTGTTGAGTTCACCACGCTGACCAAACAGGAAATGAAATAAAAAAGTTCCCGGGGCTTTTCCTGTGGACCTGGCTAGTGCATCGGAGTTCAAAGTGCTGTCCAGAGTGGTCACAATGGAGCACTCTGGGATAGTTCCCGGTGGCCAATACCGTCGATTTGCGTCCGCACTACCCCAAATTCGACCCAGCAAAGTCAATTTTAGCGCTACTCCCCTTGCCGGGGAGGAGTACATAAGTCGATTTTGAGAGCCCTTTAGGTCGACGGAACGGGGTTGGTTGTATGGACGCATTCATTTTTAAATGGACCTAATGCAGCTAAATTCAACCTAGCCCTGTAGTGTAGACCAGGCCTTACTCTGACACAGGTTAGTTCCATATTAGCCTACCGGATCCTGAGGACAGTCGGGGCTAGTGCAGAAGAGGAGCACAGGGGGCTCTGTGTTCATTCCATGGTGGGAGATGCGTGGGGAAGTGGGAGCTCATGCAAATAAGTCTTGCTCCCCTCTCTCCAGGAATCAGGGAAGTTAATGCAATCCTGCAGTTGCAATAACTATCAGGTATCTGCTGCAAAATATGGTGCGGAAAATCAGGCAAAATCTCAGACACTTTAAAAAAGCTCTTACCATTGTGGGCTGGGTGGCACTCCATGGGCTTCCCCTTTTAGGATACTTACAAAACTCTGTGTCCATGGAGTCATGCCATGCTGTGGTGCTCTGGTCAGCGGCATGTGACAAAGTACAGGATGGCCAAGCTTTGGGCCCATTTGGCAAGTGACTGTTCTTGGATAAACCTTGTGTCTGCAAGATGAAGTCTTAATATATGTATTTTAACACCACAAATAGCTGGTGGGTATTTCTGTCCTTTCTGTTCTGTTTAGGTTCTTCTGCCATCACCAGGGTGTTGTCCTGGCATTATTGTCAGTACAGCCCCTGAAGCCTAAGGATGTTAAAATAATTGGCATTATTACTAGTCCTTCTACTGCCTCATACTGGATAAGAAAGCATGTTAGTCCACTGAATCGTCATTACTGACTTAGTCCACTTCTCTCTCTAGAGCTGTCCACGTTCCTTTTGCTTTCTTTATGTAGCTGTCATTAATGTTAACAGGAGCTGGGAACGTGTACAGGAGACTGGGGGATACGATAGGTTCCATCCCACTTCCTAATCTCTACATCCAAGACGTTTTCACAAACTTGCTCAGTTTTGCAACCTTTCCAGTTTAGTTAGAGGTGGTTGCCCACAGTTTAAGTCTAATGGATGTGAATTTTGAACCCTCTAATGGAGTGTGTACTTGTACATTTAAACATTGGTTATGCGGGAGCACACTGCTGTAGTCTCTTGTTTATAGCTCTGTGCTGGGGAGACTATAAAAATCATCTCACAAAAGTTCATTCATTCATGGCAGGGATAGATAAGATTTAGTGATCTGGAGGCTAAAACCTGTAGTATTGCAATTTACAATAAAATCAAGTCTAGTGAACCCAAGATCTCTGGTTTCCATAGAAGCAACTTCATTAGCTTAGATCAGTAGTGTGTCTGTATTGTTTAAAATCCAGACTTAACACTAGGCAGGATTTAAGTGTAGGTATTTAAAGGTTATTGTGGCTTTTGTATGTGATCATTTTATTGTATTCTACTTAGGCTTTTTATTCCTTGCGGTGTTTAGAGTGAATAATATAGAACTGAAGACAGTAAAGCAGCAGGGTATATGCTCCTGACTGCTGTACAAAGCTGGATGACTCAGCAGTGCATAACACATCAGTGAGATGACTTCACTGCTAGGAGGGCAGTGGAGGGTGGCATCCCCTGCATGTTCCACTTCTAGCAGGGCAGACATTTAAAATACACTCGGTGCCTTCATTCTAGTTTTGACAGCAAGCGGAACATGGCTGTATTGCCTCAGTATATTTTCTCTTCTTTGTGATATTGTTGCTTTAATACAAAACAGAATTTTTAAAAATAATCTTCCGTAAATAATGTTTCCATGACATTTCACTGAAATATTATCTGGATTGAACCTTCCCCTGCACATCAATAGGGGTCTAAAAGGGACAGATGCTTAAAAAACAAACCTACCACCCTATTTGAAAACTGCTTACTGTTATTAGGTAACAGCCAAGTTATCTAACAGATTAGAGGGGAGAGTTCTTCAGTTTGTTTGAATATACACACTGATGTCATATAGTACTTTTGCCCAGTAGTCAGGAAAAGAAATGTAGGAACTGCCATACTGGATCAGACCAATGGTCCATCTAATCCAGTATCCTGTCAGCGATAGTTACCCATGCCAGATGCTTCAGCAGAAAGTGCAAGAAACTTTGCAGTAGGTATTTATGGGATAACCTCCCACCAAGGAAGGTTTGCTCTGAAACCCCTCTCCCGCATTAGTTAGAAGTTGCTTTAGGCTTTAAAGCTGGAGAGCTATCCCCCTTCAGAAACTCTTGTTTATGTTTTAAGCTTATAACAATGATGGATAGTCTTGTTAGCCAGATAAGTGACTAATCTGTTTCAAATCCTGCTAAGCTTTTGACCAGAATAATATCCTGTGACAATCAGTTTTGAACTTGCCACTTCAAAATTTCCTTGAATGTTCCTTGTTCTTTTATTAGGAACGTGGGAATGATCGTTTGTACCATTCTTTGTTTTATATAACTTCATCATGGTACTATAAGTTAAACAGTCCCAATCTTTTCCTACTTTATTCCAATGACAATTTTTCAATGCCTCTAATTATTCTCATCACCCATCTCTGAACTCCTCCTGAGTCTGCTCTCTTTTTTGACATTGGGTGACCAGGCCTGAACACAGTTTTCCAGGTGAGGATGTACCACGGGTCTGCCATATTTTCAGTATTATTCTCCTGAGGCTCAGTACTGCTCCCATTTGGTGGCAATTCTTCTGACTATTGACTTGATTGGAAGCAGGATATCAAGCTCAATGTTTGTAAATTCAAGCAGTGAACACCTGATAGTTTGGGTGGCCTACTAGGATGGGAGTGGAAGCAAGATCAGATTTTCTCATGGAAAGCTTACAGAACAATCTTAGGTTTTCATATTCTAATCGCATTGGGCAAAGCACTGCAAAATGTTAGCCTATAGTTAGAGGCAAGCCTGGCTGTAGCTTTACGTTCTGTGAATATTAGTTACCCACTATCAAGAGATTCCAATTAGTTTTATCCAGTAGAAATTAGTTATGCGGAGAACTCCTGCTATGTACAATGTACTATCCTTGAATTATTTATCAGTGTTACCGAAATAAAAGTTATTCCGCAATTTAATTTAGCACTTTTTTTTACCTTTTTCAGGACAGCCAGTAGAGGGGACTTCGTATTTTCTGCTGATCGTCTGGTAGGTGGAGGATTTCTTCTTCTTCTTGCTGTGCTTTGTGACACTTGTGTTAAACAGGACTTTCATGCTGGAGCAGTCATCCGGTGAGAGCGATGCATTCCTATACAAAGTGAATGCTGTTTGACAGTAACTTTCCTAATGTCTTTCATGCCAAAGGATTTCACAAATACCTTCAGCCACCTGAGGAACGCAGCAGCTGTTTTAACAGCACACGCTACTATGTTAGGACAGAAGTGAAAAGCATGTAGGTAATTGAGAATGCTAGGGAAACATAGGTAAGCAAGAAGTGCCTGCTTCAATTTCCCTTTGAGTAACACCCATACTCTTGTTAAAAGTGCCTTGGGATCTTTAATGGCCTGAACATGGGGTTCTACACAATATTACAAATAGATAATAGTAATAATAATCCAAGAGCCTATACCTCCACCAGTACATATTAACAGGTCAAAGTAACACTACTGGGGAGCCTAGGGTTTTTACTTCAATCTGCTAACATGTTAAAACTATGATACATGCATACAAATTGGATAATCACATTCAGTAAATCATAATCTTTCCAATGATATCTTACGTGACCCATCTTGCATAAAGTATATCTTAGTTATGCCATATTCATATCATAACCATATTTCTATGAAGAATATGGGGTGTCACAGTCTCCAACAACTGTCATTTGTTTTAAACACACATTTGTGACAGTTAATAAAGCAGATAAGGACAATCATGGAAGATACACACGGAATGTGAAAGACCTATTTCTAGGTCAGCTCCATTTCAGTGTTCCTATTTGTCAGGGTTCCCAGGATTCCCAAAATCTTATTATATGAAGAGTCCAGATTTTCAAACAAAGATATTAAAGCCCAGATGTCCAACACTAATAAATTCAAACACTATTCAACCGAAAGAAAGCCAGATATAAGCCATACTAAACATTAACAGAGCTCGGTTCTCTCAGTCAAGGATGCTTTCTCTACAAGAGCTTTTACCATACTGAGCTCCTTCTGAAAGCACTTTATTTTTTACCCTGGAGAGGGTTCCCATCATGCTCTACTCTCAAAGGGGTATTCCTCCCAGTGAATTGGCTATCAAATCACTTCAAAAAAAGAAGATAGGTCAAAAATATGTTGCTAAAGTTTTGATAGAAGAGAAACAATGGCTATTGCAAGACAGGCAGGAGAAAACCTTAATTAACCCTAACTTACCCCTGTTGCAGTTCCTCAATGTGAAAGTCCTCATCCTGGGCCCTCTCAGATTCTCCTGGAAGTGTTGTGCCAGTCTCCGGGATGTACAGACTACTCCCTCACTGCTGCACGCTGCCACTTTCCAGTCACTGAGCCAAACTCAGGCTCATGCTGAGTCTTGCTTAACTAGCACATTTACAGATCTAGAACTGCTGCTCACGGGATTGCCTCTACCTGCTGGTCATACAACAGGCTTGACAGTTGTTAGAGAGATAGCTGGTCCCTCCTCCTCCTAAGAAAAGGGAAGAAATGGAGAACCCATACCTAGGATTGTGGGATGTCTTGCTTTGTATATTTTATTGTTTGATTTGTACTTTGGTAGCGCCTAGAGCTCCAGGCAGATTGGGGCTCCATTGTGCTAGGCGCTGTACAAACCTAATAAAAATCCAGTCACTGCCCAAATGACAAAATGTAACAGATGGATGAAATAAACAGAGTGGTGGGATTGGATGTGAGCACAATTTAGCTTTTTGCCTGCCTGGCACTAGCTGCTAGCAGTCTCCTGGAGGGTCACAGCAGAGGTGAGTCATAGGGAGAGATTTGAAGGCCGATAAATTTAGCGGTACAGGTTTTTTTCATGCAGCTTAGTCCATATGTGATAGGTGGCATGAGAGTGTGTGCAAAGGTGCTATGGGGAGAAGGGGACTAATAGGTGGAAAGGCTGGCAGAGTGAAGGTGGCTGTCACTGATGTGCTAATGCATCTATGAAGGGTGCGTCAGGCAGCTAAATCGTGATGGTGAGGACAAATCTGGTGTTTGTAGAGGAGAAGGGGAAGCTAGTGGAGGCACATGGTTAAAATAATGGCCTAGGAAGATGATCTGAGCATTATAAAGACTTGGATTAGAGCTTTGATTGTGAAATATCAAAACATTTCCTTCAAGCTGTCAGGATTAGAATGTGCCAGTAAAGAGCAAGAAAGAAAACTTCGCATTAAAAAAGGGAAAAATTTGGCGGTGACAGCTTCCTGTTAGCTGGAACTACCAGACTAGAAATGGACACACTGGGCCAAATTCACAGGGGATGCCAGTGGAGGTGCAGGACTCAGTTGGACCCACTTCCTGATATGCAGTTTGGTGGCATTTATATGCCATGGAGAAAAATGAAAGTATCCATCTTTCCTGACATTTACTTACAGAATCTTGCTAATTGCTTTTCTTGTCTTCTGGCCCCTGGATGTGTGAATTACACCAACTCTGACCCACTCACTCACTGACTTAACCTGTCCATCACCTCTGAATGTGGCCCACTATAAAACTTTGCTCTAAATAGACATTCTTGTGGTGTTAAGTTTGATAACACTCATAAACCTTGTCATGCCAATAAAGTTACTGAAATTCAAAATCAAAAGGCCTTTGGCACTGACTGCAACTGAAGAAGTTCCCTTAAACAGACAGCCTGTCTGCACTGGGAACTGGGTTGAGAGGGAAGGATGGAAAAGATTCCCCTGGTGGGTTTTGCCTTGTTCCTGGAGTGAGAACAGTGGAGATGAACCTTAACTTATCCATTGACCGGAGAAATATATGTGTTCAGTCCTTTGAGAGATTGCCTCATTTCTATCATTATACAGTGACTTTTGCTTAATGGGTTTTCATCTTTGCTTGGCTGTAGGTTTTTTTGAGCATTCTGGGCTTTGAATCGCTGGCTCGCTCTACTTTCTAAATCTTTAATACCTGGAGCTCCTTTCATGGGAAATCATCCCTGGGGTCAGATTAATACATTTTAAATAACCTTGCCTGGGGTACAGCTACAGAGCTATCATTGGGGGAGGACTAGGGGTTTTCAGGTCACCTGAGGCTGTGGAATTTACTGGCTCTGTCTCCTGTAGAGATATCCCTGCTAAAACTGGGCCATGTTTGTGAACGTGCAATCTCTTTGCAGAGCATCCCATAATAATGACAACTGACAGGTGTCAAAGGGAGGGGTGATGATATTTCTCTATCGACTGACTTGCCTTGGGGAACTTGGCTTTGTGTTTACTGTGCTGCGGTTCAGGCTGTTCTGGGCAGCCCACGGGGCAGCTCCTGAATGGAGATAGGGATGTGAAAATAAACTGGCAAGGGGAAAACCTTATTGACACGTTCATTGTATGTTGGTAAAACTACTAGAATATGGTACCTTACATTGACGGGTAAGAAACCTCTCTAAGCTGATGCTTTCCTTTGGTTCTACAGATCAGACTTGTGGTTGAAGAGGGATTAAATCAGCTACCATATACAGAATGCACAGTGACCACTCCAACAGGTAACTGGGAGTTTACTCCCCAGCTGGTAGGGCTGGCAGTAGAAGCTTCATACTATACGTAAAGTAGAACTTAGAATCCTTGTGAGGCTGACTCAGCTGAACGTTCAGGTCAGAGTGCAAAATTAAGGCCCCTCTTCCTGACATTTAAAAAACCCAAACCTTACTGACTAATACACTTCAGCAAAACACACAGGAGTTATTTAGTAAGAGTTTAAATCAGTCTTGCAAAATCATCATGAAAATATACCTACCAGTCCAGGTGCCAGATGTGCTCACTTGCCCTTACTGTGATGATGATGAAAATAAAACTGATGATGTTTTACTTATCCATTAAGGAGAGTTGGGGGGATTTAGGCAGATTCAAGAGGCCTTGCAAAATTCTCTGTGCCTTGTTGCCTACAACCATGGACCAGTTGGCAGTGATGATAAAGGAGCAGGAAGTTAGTTTCTACATCAGCAGGGAAGCATGTGTGTGTTAACACTAGAGAGAACCCATAGGAATCATTTTGGCTTGTTCCTGTTGAAGCCAAATATGAGGTTACAGGCAAGACAGGTTAAACAGGAAACAGTGTAGCATTAGCTAGAATTTGGGAAAGCGGTTCTAAAAGTAATACAGATTAACATTGTTTTACTGGTTTAACAGGTGTCGCCTTTCTCCTCTGGAACACTGGGTTCAAATCCAGTCCATGTCAATCAACAATTGACACCACTTGAAGCCTGTTTGTTAAGTGGACTCTGTGAAATGAGTTTGCTGTGTTCCAAACTGCAGGTGGTAGCTTCTTTGCAGAAGAACGCCCAAGGATTTCTGACTGGGCCATTGTCATGGTTATAGAGCAAACTGTGCTGTAGACCTCTTGAATGTTCCCGTTAGGTGACAGGCCTGGCTTCCTGCAGCTCACTCTGGATGGCACCACATGGACCGACCAGATCTCTGTGTTCCCAACTGAGTTAATGTGACAGACCCAACAGCATTCGGCACCTATATCACTTTAGCTCTCAAACCCTCTTACTAGTTAAAGCAACTAAACAGCAGCTTTTCCAAAACAAAGCATTAAGTATTCTTACACCCAAAAGAACGTAGCATCCAGAGCAAAGAGTTAATGCAACAGAGCCCTATACACATTTCCCCATACCTGTACCGTAATCTTGCCTTGCCAGCATTTGTGAGTAACCCTCAACTCTGGCTGGGAGAAGCAGTCTGTCATGCTTGCAGCTTGCCTCCTCTGTATCTGTCCTCCCTCGCCAGGATGGCAGCTGTTGCTGACACTCCCTGAGCAGCCTCTGGCCACTCACTCAACCCTTCCTCCTGCCCGAGGCCAGCATCTTTAAGGTTTAGCATCCCTTTTGATCCTAGGATTAGCCTTGGGAAGAGTAAACCTTGCTTACCCACTTCCTGGCTTCATCCAGGCTATTTCCCAATAAACAGCTTTCCCAGTGTTTCATCCAGGCTATTTTCCAATAAACAGCTTTCCCAGTGTTTCCTCAAGGACATTATTTCAGTTTTTGTTTGCTTCCCTCTTAACAGCTTCTTTTGATTTATCTCCTGGCAGTCAGGCTGGGTAACATCACACAGAGAACCACAGGGGCTTTTGATATTTATAAAAAATAGTACACATAATTCCCTCATTCTCCACAGGTGTAGACTGAACTCTGCACCAGCCTTGGTATTAAGACTGAAGCACAACGTTTGGGCAGGGGAAGCTTGCCCTGCTGTCCAAGCTGTTCTTTGAATAAGTAAAGGGCTTTAGCTTCCAGGGCTTTCAGCTGACCCCATCACACTCATAGTATTTTCCTGTTATTCCTTGCACAAATCAAATCACTCGGGTAGTTTCATATTTCTGGTATCTGTCCACCGCACTGGCATGTATCCATTGGCTTCTTCTGAAGTTACCATTCAGCTTTATTTTGTATGGCATCCTTCATAAGAAGTGTGCCCAGAATACGAGTAGTTATACTAAAATCCTACAGCAGGGAAGGCTCTCTTCTAAACCCCATGTTACCAGCCCTTTGCCAACTTACGGTTTTGTTCCTCTGTCCTTCACTTTTTTAGGCCAATTAGTATTTGGCACACTATCATACTATTGGTCCATGCAAAGTATGGCATACATCCGTAGTCCTCTTTATACAGTATGTACTTAGAGAGATGTTAGTTCCATTCATGGGAAGATCATTTAAGACTATAACCTAAAGGGGCACCAAATGGGTTAAAAAGGAACAATGACTTCCATTGACCATCAGGTCTGTCTTTCCTCCCACAGGGTACAAGTATGAAGGAGTGAAATTTGAGAAGGGAAACTGTGGAGTCAGCATAATGAGAAGTGGTAGGCCATGGTTTCTTAACGTGTCTGTGTTTAAAGCTCTTCTTTAAATCTCTTTACCACTTTGCTTTTAAGAACAGCAACAACCCCTTTTCCTCTGATGAACAAAATTCACCGAAGTCCTCCAACTGCCATTCTTCTCTCTTCATAAGTGTCCTGTTCCAACCAAGCTTACACCCACCACTCTCAAGTAATGTGTTTTATTAACCCCTTAGGAAATAGAACAGTTGCTGGGGATTTTCTGTGGCTGCTAGAGAAGGGGTTCTAGGTCGAGGACATTCAAATGGAGCAAGACCTCCCTCTGCTTCTAGAAACCCCCATAGTCGTTGCCATTAATTCTCCTCCCCAGGACAATTCTCCAAATAAACTGTGGCTACTGGTAGAAATTGTGCACATTCCGGGGAATGCTAGTGGGTTTTTTTGTCTAACTTCATTAGCAGCTTGATAGCAACAGTTCTTAAAGATCTAACAGCAAGAGGCTAAAATCCACTTGCTGCAATGTTTTCTGTCCCCTCTGTAGCGTCATGATGTTGCATCAGTATCTGGAGAGTTGCAGATGTGTTTCCTTCTCAGTGCTCAAAGGGGTTTTTCATACTGATTAGGAATGATCAAAATGTTTGTAGGAAGCGTTGCTCTATTTTAGATTTAGATTTGCTATATCCTGGAAAACCAGCCTTGTGTTAGTGCTTGGGACCAATGAGTGATACTGATCAGGCTAACTTCATTGTCTAAGCAGAGTGAAAATTTCCAGTTAATAATCTGTGATTTTAGTCATTTGGTTTAATAATCTCCTTACCATAGTTAAATATTGAATATCCCTTTAGTAGTAGTAGCTGCTTGTGCTTTCTTCCTTGGTGTGTAACAGGGTTTTTGTTGTTGTTGCTAAACTGAAGGAGAGGCAATGGAACAAGGCTTACGGGATTGCTGCAGATCCATCCGAATAGGAAAAATCCTGATACAGAGCGACGAAGAGACCCAGAGAGCCAAAGTGTACTATGCCAAGTTTCCACCAGACATTTACAGGAGAAAAGTTCTTCTCATGTACCCAATACTGAGTGAGTATCTTAGAGCATTCTTAGGTAGCGTTAAATATTGTTTGACTAATGGGTGTTCTGTGTAAAATTCCCTGAATTTCAGTGGCTACTAGTAGGATTTTAGCTTGCCTTGGGAAGTACAGCAGAGAATTTATCAAGTTCTGCTAGAATAAGCCTTAGTCAGACTGCATTAGTTGTTCAGGCATTATCTTTAAAATGCAGATGTTGAAGCGATAGATCGAATGAGGTAAAAATAAATGTGATGCAAATCGCTTGAGTATGACCCACTGTGTATGTGGGGTGGGGGAGAACTGGGCTTTGCTGTAAATTGCTTTTTTAATACATAAATTTTAGTATGTAAGTGTAGAAAAGATTTAGAACTATTAGAACTAAACACTTCAAAATTTCAATTTAATTAAATACTAGTTAACGCTAACTTTACATTTAAAAATTAATAATTCTATTTAACAGTTTATATTAAATTATTTCAAAATTAAACTAATTAATGCCACCAAAGAGCCTCAGAAGCTGGTAGAGCTTACGTCAGGCTGAAGCAAATTCTCTAATACTTAATTCTGCTCCTTCACGGGAACTCTTGATTGCCATTTTCTGTTTCAACTGTGATTTCTTGCCTTAGGGCCTGATCCTGAGCCAACTGATGTCAATAGACTTTGAGTCAGACTCTTAATACAGCATTTTAGTGCATAGAAGCGATAGTGTCAATAAGGGACTAAGCTTCCATAGGTAACAGAGTGAGTGGTCTGTACTGCAGTAGAAAAGGGACATATTCCTTCCATTTACTTACACGCCAGTACTGGTGGCACCCAAATCCCCTCTGAATGTGAATTCTGCTTATTCTAGTTCCAAATGATTTGTGAAGTTTTTCTGATAAGGACAGTCTTGTTTTTCCCCTCCTCCCAGGCACTGGCAATACTGTCATTGAAGCTGTAAAAGTTCTTATAGAACATGGCGTTCAACCAAGTGTCATTATCCTGCTAAGCCTATTCTCCACACCTCATGGTAAGTTGAAGGAATGGGGGGGAGGAGGTTATTCACGCAACACCGAACTGTACACAAGGCTGAGATTTTTAAAGAGTTCCAGTGAGCTGATTTAATGTAGTCGTATTTGGGGACTGAAGTGGGAGAAAAGTCATAAATCGAGGAAAGGAATGGATAAAATGTAAACAAAACAAAAGGTGGTTGTGGTAGTTTATAAAATGTGATGTGAAAGACATTGGTTCAGTTTTCCTCTCCACTCTGTTAAAGGTCATGTCGTATGACTCAATAGCGATCCCTTGTGAATAACAGTGGCATTGACTGGTTAAGAAAGGAATTCAGTCCCATCTTATTCTGCTGAGATCTGGGGCTTTGAGAATGACTTTTGGTTTCTGTTTAGTAGGGTGGGAGAATGGAGAAATTCTAATGCCTGTCAGGGCTACTCATGAAATTCAAACAGACATAGCAGAAAAGGAAAGCAGGCCTGCTCTCAGGACTGAGGGCAGAATTGCAGCTGTGAAAAATTCTTGGTAACAGGAATCACATGGTAGCCAGTTACACAGAATGTGCCCGTGTCCTACAGAGCACTGCAAAGCTACCTTTTGTTCGTGGACTGTAGTGGGGCTAGCTCTCAACTGGGGCTAGCATAGCCATGTATTTCTTGCTGTTGACTTCTCAATCAGTTTTCAAAAATGAAAGCGCCAGTTCTTTAAACTGGGGGGAGGGATCTTTTGTGGTTTCCTGCTACTATAGATTTAACACTAGCAGAAATTCTTGCCACTAGCATGCAGTAGACCTAGGTAATTGACAGTAGCCTGTACCTACTTTGTTCATCAGAGTAGGACTATACGCAACCCTTAAAAGCTGTTAAAGACTTTCTGATAGCCAGTCAGCTGCACAAGCCAGGTGTAAATGCAAAAAGTGGATCGAACAGCAGAGGTGAGGTACCTACAGGGGACCATCCTCTGCTTAACTGCTTATAAAAATCCTACAGGCGCAGGGCTGAACTACAAAGTGTAATTTCAACTATTTTCTTCTTTCCTCCTTAAAAGGTGCCAAATCTATCATCCAGGAGTTCCCAGAGATCACAATTTTAACTACAGAAGTTCATCCTGTTGCACCAACACACTTTGGACAGAAGTATTTTGGAACGGACTGAGACACTTAACACAAATTGGTTATGTCAATATGTTGCTGTATGATATTACAATGGTGTTTTTTCTACGTTTTATTATTTGTAGCAGGGCTGGCTGCAGGCATATTTAAAATCTTTTTTGGTCAGAGGGGAAAAATATTTTACTTACATTCATTTTGTTTGGTTACTTTCTGAAAATTGAATCAAATGCAATAATGAAGCCCATTCAATTATTATAAACTAAAGGCCCTTTAATGTGCTTTTGGAAATTGCTACACACTCAGTGCTTTAACTTATTTATTCTTTCATAACCCTGTACTGTAGCTCTTTGCAATAGCAAAATAAAATCATGCTGTAAAGCATGCAACGTACATTTCATTTTATGTTGGTATAGTTTGCATTGTGCTGGTGTAGTCATTACAGCTTATTTTAATAATTCAAAAATCATGAAGGCACTTGGAACTCTGCATAGACATTAGCACCAGAGGTAGATTTCTGGCCCTTGGATGGTGCTCACAGACATGAATTTCAACTCTTTTTAGGTCACTGTGTTCTCTATGGACTAATTCCACATAGTAAAACATTTTGTAGGTGCCTCATTAAGCTCTGTGGTACTAAAAAATAAAGAAACCTTCCACCATAATCCACTCGCCACTGTAGTGAAAATGCTCAAATGGCTACTGCTGAAGATGGCAACAGTACGGTCTTCAAAAAAATCTCTCTATAAAATACTTAGCAATTGTGCCTTATTAAAACGCTTATGTGTTAAGCTACATACGTGTTGTAATTATTAGCCATTTTAAAGATAAGTAAACTGTCAGATGAAGTGATGCCTGGTTTCTAGCCCTGTCTACCAGCCAGCATTCCTAAGCAAGGGGTTTATATTGGTACCCATCTTGCATTTTATGTCTAGTAATTAGGTCTAAATGCTTCTTAAACCCATGCTAAAACTCTGAAACAGTTTAAATGTCGTTCTAGCTTTTTGGTATATAATTTTTACTGTAAAATATTTAAGTCCCTCAGCTTCAAGTTCACAACAAAATAGGGTCTTGTCTTACTGTAATTTTTTGGACTACCTAGCGCGAACAGTTTATTCTGGAAAGAGAAGCAAAAAAAGTTGTTTGTCGCATAAGTGATAGCAACTGGATTGCCTGCTTGTAAAACTTGTACCTCACCTTAACATGGTACTTAATATCCTTCAAAAGATATCCCAACACTTAAATGCTGTAGGGTGGTGTACTGGTAAACTTCCTGCCTGTAAAAGGGTGGAAGGCAAGTTCTCCTCAAAAAGACAAGCTGGTGCAGGTATCCCTTCACCAGGGCAAAGGAGGCAGGAATTGAGCTTGTCACTTGAGATCTTCTCAAACCTCTCCTAGGTGGGACTGGGCTATCACATCCTCCTATCCCCAGACAGCTGTTTCAGGCTTACAAGACCTTTCCTGTGAAATGGTGCTCTGGACTAACTTATGGCCAATAATCAACATCAATGTAAAGATAAAACAATTTTAATGCAGTTCTTTACTGCAGTACAGTATAAACCATGCGATTCTCTAGTAAAAAAACAAATAGTAGAAAACAATGCATAATATACAGTATTCAAACCATAAAAACACCTTGAAAGTGCTACTGAAACTTACTTACACATCAAATATAGAGAATGTTTGTTGGCCAATAAAAATGGTGGTTTGTACAGAAAGTTTTTGTAAAAATCCATTTGACACTAAAAACCAACGCCAGCATCGCTAATAAAAACTCTTGAAACTGCGCAAAAACATTCCCAATGCTGTCAGACTTTTCATAACATTATGGAAAACATTTGGCCCCCCTGTTAACATAAGGAAGTGTGAGAGAGAAAACCTCATGCAGTTCCAATCTATCACAGTCTTAGCTGAACACTCCAGTAATCATTGAATCTCCAAGATGCATTTCAAAAAAGCAAAGAAAACACTCATTAGTATGAACATAGGGCCATATTGCGCCAGCAAGTAAGTTAGGGTGTCTATATAAGGCAGAACTAATTTAAATCAAATGGAAGTCCCGTTTAAAGTTGCTGACATGATATGGCTCACTATGCTAGTTTATCTTAGGGCGAAGGAAAAGTTCTCTACACTGGTTGTTAATATTGAAGGGGACAAGTGACAGTAGTTTTTACCCCAAACTTATGGATATTGTTTTTCTCCCCAAGCAAAACTTTACCAAACTAGTTATGAGTAGTTTGGATCAATTGTTTAGTTTGATTCACACCTTCCCTAGCAAACAAAACCCATGCCTGTGCAGTAAAGAGTGAAGCTGACCAGTCAAAATTGATTTTGAAGTAGAGTAAAATATTAAACAGAATAACTAATGAAAAGTGAACTCTAACATGTGAGTTTACATCTCACAGGTAAGTAAGAATTTTTAACACATGGTATTCTGAAATGCTCCCATTTTAAACTTAGTGAACAGGGATCTCCCTTGACTCAATGATGGCTCAAGTCAGTCCCTAAATGAGGATACACTGAAAACCTTACAAAAGAACTGGCAGAAGTTAAAATAGAAGCTCCCTGCTTAAATGAAGCAACTTACATTTTTATGTTACTTGGGGCTTGTCTACACACAAGTTATTCTGGAATAGCCATTGCACTTGAAATTCACACTCCACCTTATTCTAGAATAACTTTCATGTGTAGACAAGCGCTTCGTCTCCTTCACCCATGTAGGAAGGCCCTGTCTGCACCAGAACCAGGATGGTTTGTTGCACAGTTAGGATACCAGATGCCCGTGTCATAACTTTGCACTATTTATAGATGCACCACAAAACAGCTTTAGGGCTCACTGAGCACCAGTGCCCAGGGGAGAAAGAAAAACACAGATACACACACCTGCATGGAAGGAAAGCACATAATCTGTAATAGATACTACACTGCACAGGCTCTGCAGCTTTGCGAGTGGGGGAAAGACACCTCTGTCTGTCCAGGTTTGGTACAGGATTTGGTCACAAGTAAATGCAAAGTTAGTTACAAGTAGCAAAAAAGTTCTGTTTAGTAAAATCACCTTTGCATTACATGGGCTGTTTGATATTAGCACCCAGTGCAAAAAGAATGCCTCTTCCTAAGCACAACTGAAATAAAAGAGCAAGAATGACCCTTTTGTCCATTTTGTGTATTTTAACATAATCATGCATTTTTCTAATACCAGCTTTACTGCAGATGCTGCTGCAAACCTCAAATCCTGATATAGAATGAATACTTTAAACAACATCTTTGCAGGCATAAAAGATTTTTGGTCTTACTTGAAATATAAACGTAAAACCTAATACCATTTTTTAAAATTTCAATGTGTACATTCCAAATCGCAGCCAGAAAACAGTAAAATATGATTTAAAAAAAAAAAAGCATTCAAAAGAAAATATAGAAAATTGGATCTTGCCGCACTGAACAAAAAACCAAATCAGAATGACAAGGAAGATGCAAAGATACCCATCGACAAATAATTGACATCAAACCAAGAAATTACATTGCACAACATTTTTTGAGAGCCCATTCCATCCACTCACTGCTTTAGTAACTAAAGGAAAAAATGCAGCTGGCTGAAAAATAATCAATTGTAAGTCATTTGCATGTGATCAGAAGGAAAAACTCTTCTCACTTTGTGTTCTTCTTTAACAGAATGAAATAATGCCTGTAAAAACTAAAATGAACAAACTGATATCATCTTGGTGGACTGTTAATTATCAAAAAAGTGAAACAACAGAGATGAAATAAAAAGAGGAAATGATCAGGAAAAGTACATATCTAATGCCCCATGTCTGAATTGGTTGCCACCCTCCAAGCTGCTGACAGAACATTAGTTTTAATGAAAAAGCAACTCTGCCATGCAAATACTTTAATTGATGGTTTGCGGAAAAAAACCTCAGTTTGAAATGCTCTGCAGCAGAACGCCTGCTGACAACTGAAAAATACCAATAAGAACAAGACATTTTTCAAGTAGATCAGTTTCAAAACATTGTACCACAGACACAAAAAGAGAATGTGTAACTTTGAGTTGACTCAGGCCTAACAGGCAAGGGTCCAGCAATGTTTTGTTAACCTGCTTACAATTATTAATGGTCAGTTCTCTTAACACTTCTGTGAAACAGTCAGCCATATGAATGGCAAGTCTGCTGTGCTGGCTTAACAACTGTACTGAAGGCAGTTGTTCCCTGAACGCATCTTTAAAATCTCAACTCTCCCATCCCCCATGGTTAGATACAAAGGAAGTATTTCCTGACATGTTACATTCAAGTTTCATACAGACTTTATGCAGCTAGTCCTGTAACTGGTACAAAATTGTGCTTTTAGCCTGTGCCAGAGTACACACCTCCTACACTTAGAATACACTGTAGATTTTGCTGAACCACAGCTCTGGCCATTTCTGGGAAGTATACATTCATCACACTCTCATGCTAATAGAAAGCTTCCTAGTCCTTACTGATTACAGTACACCTACATGCAACAAGTACAGTCTATTAAAAATGTACAGTACTGCTTCCTGTTTAAAGGAATACAAAAACTTATTCTACTCCAAAAACATCTTACACTGATTCAGCAAGAGTCCAGATTTACAAAACAAACTGCAGTGCAGAGATGCTTATAAACACTAATTCCTTGGAGAGCAATTCACTGGCCAAGGAGAGGCCTTGTCACAAGACACCCTATGCAGACATCAATATGATGCCTTACCTGCTTGTTAGAGCAGGGTATCTGGAATGTAAAGGGGATAATTGTCAGTGGGATATTTTGGACTGTTATTCATAGGAGACAGGAAGTTTGACGGAATGATTCATATTACAGTAAAATCCACCCACAGCATTCTTTGTGCATGTGGTGACGTTCACTGGGGAAGGAGTTTATAGTACTCACGGTCATGGGGGGGAGGGGGGGGAGAGGAAGAGGAGGATAGGACAAATGCATGTTTCTTATCTGATGTGAACACCACGATCAGTATAAAATGGATCTGGGGCAGAGGGCACAGGGGAACGTGCTTTGCATGCGGAGGGTTCAATACCCAGGTTTTTAGACTTCGATCTAAATTAATGTTTAGTGTTTCCAAAGAGACGTTAGGTCTCTGGTTTGAATTCAGTCCAGGTTGGTTGTGACTAAAAATTACTCTCCGATGGCTGTTTGGTGAATTACATAAATTGAATTTAGTGATTTCAATCCAGTTCCCACATCCAAAGCACAAAAAGCCACCACAGAGAGCACTAACTGGCAACTTGCCTCTCTCTGTCCATTCAAGCCTTCATTTCTCAAAGCAGACTGCCAGCTATATTAGCCCTAGAGGTGTTCCCTTCAGGGAAAGCTTGTATTGATGTGCCCAGTTTGTGGCTAAACAGTACACTGTGCAGGGCTATCAATCTGGCATCTTTCAGGAGTATTGCATTCACACCATTTAAAAATAAACAGTGGGACCTGCTAGAAGCATTGTGCTCCAAAAGTTTAACAGAGCTTTAACTCCTGTTTTCTGGGATTCAGTTTACAGCTGTGAAGCCTATTCTTTTCCTTGGCAAGAACAGAGAGAACTGGATCCTGATGATATCATAGGACTTAAACATCTTTCTGTGATGCAGCATTAAAAATATGCCCAGCAAATAGCACCAGTGGAAGAGAAAATGCACCCTTAAATTTAAAAGGGTTATAATAACGTTAAAAATCACACTTCCGGCTGAATATTTTACCTTTTGTCACCTATAACAATGATTAGAGAAACATTCTGTTTTTTCAGTGCATTTACTTAGTGCTTTTCATAGCATTGTGTGCATAGTGCATTTCCCCTGATGTTTGTGCACAACTTTCCTACAGCAACAGGGAAGGAAGGGAGAAAAAACACTTTAAAAAATAAATAGGAAACTGACTGTAAAACCACAACAAAATCACAGGTACTGTCGAAACTATTTAACTCAATTTTTATGGTGACTAGATTTCAAGCTGACAGAATCCTTTTAAATGGTGAAAAATACTGACTGAAAGTGTTCTGCTTCTTAGTATGTCATCATCTGTGACCTTAGGAGTAGGGCTGTAGTCATGCACGATACACCATCAAAGCAGGGAAACTAAAGTAGAAATATTTTATGAGGTGCTAGGCTTCCCCAAAGGACCTGGTTATTCATCTACATGCAGCCTTGAAGAAGGCAGCTGCAGAATATCTCTAGGGAAAGAAATAAAGGCACACTGTATCTCTTCATTTTGGGGCATAATTACGTTCAATAGTTTTCTGTACTCAGATTCTTTCTTGGACTGCAGCATCCACAAGTTAGATCTGCAATCACAGTATGATCATTTCTTCTAAAAGCAAACAGGTTTATTTTGAAAACTGGTTTATTTTGTCACTCAGACACTCCTGCTCTGTACTATATTTGTCATGCTTCACTTTGATTGAGCTTCAGCATTTATTTTATTCTCTAAGCATATTTAGTTTTGAGCCTTGTAAAAATTGATGACTGTGAATGTTAGGTACTGATTTTTTTAAAGTGCATTTTGAACCACTAAGAAACTGGTAGTTTCTTTTTGGACAGGAGATAGTTGCCAAGTTACCTTAAAAAGGAGACCTGTAGCCTTACCTGGCTACAGAATAGCTTTTTTAATTAGAATATGTAAATTAAGCATGGACATTTCAAAACAGTATTTCAAAAGACCTGAACTTACTTCAGACTGTCCCGTTATGAATTGGACGGCTGTATAAACACTGATGGCCTGCCATTTTAGTGATAATTGCAACAGGAAATGCAGCTTGATGTGGTCTACCCAAAGAAGGAGGTCAGAACTGCAACCAGTGAGCAAACAGAAGCAGCTTCTATAGCTCCTTCTAGATACTCTCCTGCTATCACTGTACAGCTAGCTTTGGCAAGAAACGATACAATTAGATGGCTGTAAACAGAAAAACAAAACAAGAGATATAAGAACCTACTTAAAAAACTCCAGGAGTTCCATGTGGCTCTGGCTACAGCGCTGTTCTTCCTGCCCTGAAGGATACAATCAAGCTTACAGACAATATGCCAGCTTCCTGCTTCAATCCTTATCTTCACATTTTTACACATAGGGCATTTTAAAGAGTTAGTAGTGATTTAGGGGAAGATTTTTAAAGGCATAAACAGCAGTTAGATACCTAACTCCCATTGATTTTCAATGGGAGTTAGACACTTAACTGCATTTCTCCCTTTGAAAATCTCACTTTATACACATTTTGCATGAGATTAGGCAATTGCTTTGATTTCACAGCTATCTTTCCTTAATATTTCACTGAAAATAATGTAATGAAAGGAGCAAGCCTTTACAGAAGTTGACTATGGGTGTATTAAAAGCAGTAATGGGCTTAAACTAAAGAAAGGCAGATTTAGATTTGATAAAAAAATTTTCAAGAGCCACCTGATAACAGAACAGCCACCAAAAGAGGTGTCCGAGGTCCCATCTGTACAATGTACAAATTAATTAGCTAACACATTCAAAAAAGAGATGAGTAGAGAACCTACGCTAAGATATGGACGTGCTCTGCAGTCCCACCTACCCCAGCTTCTAGGAGTTAATTGGATGTTTGTAAAATATGTTGCTGCTGAAAGCAAGAGTTCGATTACCAGCTCCAGGATTTAAATACAGAGATGAAAGACATCTCTCCCAAAAGCAGTGATTTATATCTGTGACAGAAGGTGGGAGGAGGAGGTGTTATGTACACCAGGTTCTTTCCCCTACAATTTCCAGCTGCTGCTACTACTGGTATATCCTCCTCTCATAGAAGCAAGAGAGAAATCTCAGGGGGAAAAAAGTCTATTTTGTAGACAAGGCCTTTGTCACTGAACATTTATCAAGCAGTTTCTCATCACATCCACACTTGCTGTTTCAGGGACTGTCAACAGGAAAGTAAAGACTGATACTAAATTAAAAGCTGTATCTAAAATGGTATATAGTGAGCATAATGACTGACCTTATGACCTATGCTTAAGGACTAATATTAGTATTGTCCCAGACATTACTATTAGGAAACACGCATCTAATTTCCAGCATGGATGATGATGGAGCTGCCAAGCCTGAATCTTACAGGTGGAAAGAGAAAATTAAGACCTAGACCTAAGAACTGCATAACATCTACAAACCAAACTCCAAATTCCATTACCTAGTATAAAATTCTTGATTGCAAAACTAGTTTAAAAAAATCTGGAACAATGATGTGCAGTCAAAGGAATGCAAAGTAACTGGAAAATTTGACCACAGCTTGGTATTGAAAAATCTTTACAGCACCAGTCAATACATTTAATCGGGCACAAGTTTGAGCTAATATAATACATCAGCTGCTGTGTCCAGCATTATGGGGCTAAAACCATCTTTGTTGAGGCTGGGCTCCAATCACAGCCGCTGGAGCCATACATTCAATGCAAGTTTCCAATTTACCTGCTTCTAGATCAATGCTTATGGAACTGAAAACAATGATTAAAAACCTTTGTAAAACACGGATCCTGGTGGGAGAGGGAAGAAGAATGTGCTCTGTGTGATTGTTAGATTCCCATACTTTAGGCCTAGGAATTAAATGAAGTCATTATATTGTCTAAAATTCCCTTTAACATTTGAGTACCTGCTACAGGATTGTGCTTGAAGGCCAGTAAACCTCAAAATCCTACTGAGGATGATGCATTTCTAGACAAAAGCATCAGTGGTCTTGGCATATTCCTTAACCTTGCTTCTGCCAGCATGAGCAGGTATTTTATGCACATGTACAGTTGCAAATGTATATGCAGGTTATCTAAATATACACTGCACATACACACAAAGGGCTCTTCCAATTTAGGCCCTGATTTGGCAAACCTGACTCACATTGAGTAGTATTTACTCAAGAAATTCTGTTGATTTATGTGTAAATTTTACTCACCGTGAGTAAAGGCTGAAGAATCAGGCCCAAGATAAACAGCCTGCCTGGGAATATAAAGGCTTGACGTATTTTGAGATTTAGAGTGCCTGATGTTTGAAGCAATGGAAAGGACTGTGGAAATGCATTTACACCAACACTTTTCACCTATTACAGATAATATATATCTATATATAATTGTATCTATTAAAAGGGAATGATCCAGGCCAGTCTTCCCTGGCCCACTCTCTATGAAACTGCTCCACTCAGACATTAACTTTAAAACGCCCTGAACTTGTAAAGCCCCGAAAGATCTGCCCAGCAGGTATTCTGGACAATCAGTCTAGGATTCCAATCAGATAATATTTCATGATGTTTTCTTATCCTGAAGATCCATTTGCTTCCTGACCTTCAATTCTGAAGTCTGTGCAAAGAGAAGATGCTGGTTCCTGAGAAGGAAGCTGAAATTTAAAGAAACAAGAAAAATAAACTAAGAATTGTTCTGTCAGAGCAATTCACACCTGCCTGCTTCAGCCTTTATACTGGGTTCAACATTCTTTATTTTAAATCATACAGACTTCGAGGAAACACTTTGCCTTCTCACTAGCATATTTGATGGGTGTAGGGCAGCAAGTGGCTTTCAATGTTATCAAGATTTGCAACATTTCCTTCCTGGGTTGGTAGCATTGTCCTCAGAAGAAAGTGGTTGCATATTCAAAAGCTATAACAAGTAGTTTATCAAATAGTCTTAGGGCTTGTCTTCACGTACCGCACTACAGCGGCGCAGCTGTAGCGCTTTAGTGAAGACGTTACTACACTGTCACCGTAGCGAATTCACCTCCCCAAGAGGCGGTAGCTATGTTGACGGGAGAAGCTCTCCCCCCGACATAGTGCTGTCTACACTGGGGGTTAGGTTGGTATAACTACGTCGCTCAGCAGCGTGGATTCTTCACACCCCTTGAGTGACGTAGTTCTACCAATAGAATTCTCTAGTGTAGACCTAGCCTTAAATCGTCTCTTTGAAGCACAGAACTAGGTTGTGGATAGGGTGACCAGACAGCAAGTGTGAAAAATCAGGACGGGGGTGGGGGGTAATAGGAGCCTATATAAGAAAAAGACCCAAAAATCGGGACTGTCCCTATAAAATTGGGACATCTGGTCACCCTAGTTGTGGATTATGCTGCGTTAGCATAGAGTTTACAATTAACATGTTGAGCAAATTAAGGGTTAAATGCCTTCTGTCAACCCACTGCCCTACCTACAGAACAGAAAGAGTAGATCTCTGGCTCCTAGGTGAGTGCTGCTTCATTGCATGGTTCCTTTGCAGAGACTCGAGGAGGGGACAACTCATAACTGAGTGGAGCTGTGAGAGGGCATCCTCCCAATGTGGTGAAGACCAGAATGTCTGGGAGCTAAATTGATGGATCACTGACATTCTGACATGAAGGACCTGACTCCTCTCCCAGCCCATGCCATCTGCTGTTATACGCAGGCCCCTCCATGATGAGAAAAAGCCAGATGGGAGAGTCACTACTGACTTGAGCATTGTAAGCTACTATAATTTAGTCCTGACTGCATGGAAGAGGAATTTATCATGTAGCATGGCTATTCCCAACTCCTCCCCTATTCCACAGGCCCTACCCGCCACTTTTGGAAGTACATGAAACAGATCTTCATTCCTGTGGTCACACGTGGGAGAGATGTGATTAAATCTTAGGGAATATACTGCCCAGCCACATTCCACCATCAAATACCTCACAGCTCTTTTATCCTTTCCTACAAGTTAAATGCCTTTCAGTACTCTTCTGGGGTGTGTAAACTGAGGGGGCTTCTCTGGGCTCTCTTAGCTCACACAAATAGGTCAGAGATATGTAAAGTTTATTTTCTAGATCTCTGAACAAGAAGAGAGAATACTGTAGGCAACACTCTATGCACCACGCTGACAGTTCACCACAGTCCTGGGAGGTTAAAAACATTAAATTAAATTAAAACCCCCTAAACCCCAACCTCTATTACCTTATCTCAGACTTTTCTATTCAAAGCTCTGTACAAACACACCATAATTAATCCTCAGAGTGTCCCTATGAGGCATTATTATCCTATTTCACAGAAAGAGATACAAAGGTTAAATGACAAGGCCTCAGAAGAAGTCCCATGTCAGAGCCAGACGGTCTTGAGCCACCTGAAAATAAAGTGCTGACCTGTCTGAGTGAGTTTTGTACCATCAGATTTGCAAACCGCTATGTCTCCATTTCTATGGCAAGAGATGAACCTTCATGGTAACCTATAAAATTGAAAACAAAATGGTTAGAGATAGATAGAATAGTGTTCCTGTCATCCTTATGCTCCAAATACACCTTTAGCTATTAAATGTTACAGATAATTTTTTAAGCACCATTTTAAACAAAATCAGACATTCATCCCCATCAGGGGTAACCCTGCTGATTTCTAAACTGAGAGTTTATTTATTGGCATTATCAGATTCACACTCCATGTCACAGGCTTTAACAGCCACTTTGACAAGTAAAGATCTTCCAATTTTAATGGCATGTTTCAGGTCTGATTAGTCAGAAAATTATACTGTCTTGCTGCTATTGCTCTGGATGTAATCCAAATACTCAGTTATTATAGCTCTTCAGGTGCTGATACTTTGACTGGAAGGAAAGAGATGGCTAGAAAATGAGATACTGCAAAGCAATATTAGTTGTGTCTCAAATAAATCCATCCCCTTCTATCACATGTATCTGCATGCATTGGAATTTTATCCCTACAATGAAAAAGAGGTGATTTGCTTTGTTTCAAGGATTTATGCAAATTAACTGATGATTTTTCAGGACAGGGAGGTTTCTCTTTATTTAATTCCTCCTGGTCAGAGCACTGCAGTAAGTTCCTCAACTGCAGTCAAGGCAGTTCTCATGCATACAGTATTTCCTAATGAGTAACATTGAAATCAGGTGCCTTCAGACATTTGAAGCTTTATGTGATAATCGGTGTTTATCAGCTTCCAACTATTACACAGAATATAGTGGAGTCTGCCATAGGCTGGAACTGAATATGTGATCAATTCAGGAAGAACTCTACTCTCATGATTATGCTCCCAAATTTACTGTACTACATATCCAAGTACTACATATGATTAATTCTATCTAGAATTCTGACTTGCCCTGAAACATACATTTAAATCCACCTGTGTGATTAGTTTTTAACATCATATAGTACATAGATATTTAAAAAGTTGTTGTCCACAGCCACAGAATCCAAGCACACATAGCACCAACAAATTCAGGATTTGGATATTAAGTGCATTCAAGATGAATTTTTAGAAAAAAAATGATAAGACTATTTTATAATCTGCCAGCACATGTCATTTGGGGGAACTTCCTGACTAGATAGATTAGAGAGAGAAAATGTTTGTGAATAAAGGACAGCATTAATGAAATCAGAAAAATGCCATAACACAAGAATTAAAGTGCATTTGGAAGTAAGTGTTCTTGGTTTCTGGTTGATCAAGAAGCTCAGAATGTTTTTCATTCTAACTGAAATGCTACAATCCTTAGCAAATCTATGTACAAAAAAGTCAGAGCAAAGGTCAACACCCAAAGGACACAATCTTACAGTGAAGATACAGGCAACTGAGAATATTTGCTTCCATACATCTTCTAGTCCAGATCATGGTGTTCCCCCCCTCCTGAATTTCAGTAACATGTATCTTGTATTCACAAGTCTCCCAGTTTCCCCTAACATTGATTTTAAAACACTATCCACAGGTAGTTTGCCTTTGCAATTTTTGCTTTTGGCTTTAAGATTATGCTGGGCGTTCGCTTTGGTTATGTTCAGAAAAAATCAATCACAGCACAGGCAATGGATTGTAACGTTGTGGTTAAAAAGGAGAACATTATACAGCAACACTTGATCAAGCATTTTTCTTTCTTTTTTTTTAAAATTATCTCGGTGGCATGTCACTTCCTCTTCTGCATATGCCTAGAGGAGGGGCTCTGATGATGAGAGCAGCTCTTATTATTTCTGTCATAAAGTGCAGGTGCACGAGCAATCATAGGTGTGCGCTGCAGAAGCTCCAAGAGGAGAGACACACCACTTAAATACATCAGGGGAGGAATCATTCTGCTTTTGGTGTGACTGGCAGTGCCATTTTCTAAGACAGCATGATCAAAGTTGCTGGAAGTTCATGTTCTATCAGTTCTAGCTTTGGCACTAGTCAATTAGTGTCCTAAACAACGAGGGGTAAAGCAAGAACAAAGCTTCACTATCTCTTCTCATCTTTTCCTCACAAACGTGTTTTAGTATCATGAGAAGCTATAAACACACAGAACTTTGCTATCTACACTAACAGGAAGTGGTGCAACAATTCAAGGTCTGGAGAAAACATGCCTCTCAAGGGACAGAATTACTCCAGGACTGAGTGCTGCTTATCCAACAAGGACCTTTCATATCATTCATTACAAGGTAAATCCTGACCCTTCTCAGTGGACCAGAGACATTATGGAGTTAATGCAGTTCAGCTGCAGGGAGACTGGATTTGAGCATCCTTGCATGCAGCGGAGCTTTTCTACGAAGGCTCCCTGCAGCACAGTCTACTGGAACTTGGGGAGCGGACAAGACCATCCTGGGCAGTAGGCAGGTATAACTACAACTACAGTACTTCACTGGCCATTCCCTATGCTGCAGTAGTGGCCACAGAAAGACCTAGAGGGAAGATGACGTCCCCCCCGGGGGACCTCCATTGTGCTAAACCCAGTTAGTCAGGCTCGCAGCTGGGACAGAGGATTTGCTCTTATGGGAGAAGGGTAAATGGCATGTACTACATGCACTTCCTAGTTCTACCAACTGAATTCCAATATTGAGGCACCTGTCCATAAAACAATACTGACTGGGGACACAGAATGTCTTTACCAGAAAATATCTGAGTCACAGACCCAAAACAAACTTTTATTTGGATAAAAACAGAAAGAGCTCCCCACCCACTCCCAAAATGAGTGAGGGGAAAACTAACCTTCCAGTTCTGATGACTGAAGTTCTAATTCCTAGCATGTCTAGCTACACAATATACCCAACTTTGTTTTTTTCATTTTGATCTTTAACTCTGTAATACTCTTAGTTTGACTTTTGTATTCTAGAAGAAATTCGAGTCCTAGTGGTAGGGCTCTACAAATTCACGACCGTGAAAAACACATCACAGACCGTGAAATTAGACTTCCCCCATGAACTCTAGCTATTGGAGGGGAGGGGAGGGGAAAGAGCAGGGCTGGGGGCGCTCCAGCCAGGGGCTCCTATCCATCATCAGGCTCCAGCTGCTCGTCTGCCGGGCTGGGGAGGGACAGGACGACTTCTTCCCCTGCATGGCTGCTCTTTGGGGGAGATCAGACCCACCTCCAATTACCTCCGCTGGTTGCAGGAAGCTCTGTGGCTGCATTGCACCCTCACTGGTTTCAGCTAGGCTCTGAAGGCTGCACAGCCATGGAGCTTTCTGCAGCTCAGGGAGGTGACCAGAGGTGGCTCTGATCTCCCCTCCTCCCCAAACAGCAGTTGTTCAGGGGAAGAGGAAGTCCCATCCCACCCCAGTCTGGCCAGGACTGGACACTGGGAGCCCCTGGTGGAGGCGCTCCCAGCAGTATGAGGGAGATCAGACCCACCTCTACCTTTGGGACCCTCCTCCAGCTGCAGGAAGCACGGTTATAACACCCTGAAATTTCAGATCTCAAACATCTGAAAACATGAAACTGACCACTTTTAAAACCCTCTGGCTGTGAAATTAACCAAAATGGCCTTACCTATTGGTGCTGAACAAAACTTCACCAAGTTTCAGAGCAAGATGATTACACACCATTTTCTTCACTGGGAAAGAGCCTAGTACAGGTCACTGATCATTATATGATCACTATAATCATTAGACTGCAGTGTAAAGGCTTGAAACTCAGATTTTGAGAGCTGACTTGGCAAAAGCTAATTTCATTCTTATGCATGCTTATGCTCGTATTTAGAGAGCTAAGCAGACTTTTTATTCAGAGCCCAGAATACTCTGTAAAAGGTAGGGGACTTGGGAACCACTCCTGAAGGGACGGATTGATTTTTTTTAAATTGTCACAAATAGCACACAGAAAAACACCAATGTTATTTTTTAAAAGTCCATCAGCAATGCAGCACTGTGTCAGACAGATTAGCTGGACTAAAATATACACGTCTTAGCAGAAGCAGATGTTTTTTCAGCACAGATGTACAAAGGCCACTTGAAATCACTTATCTGAACCAATGTTGAAATGAGCCTCTTCAGCCCTGTTCATGACATCTTGGAGTGCTAGTGTCTGAAGTGTGCCTTGGACAAGGCTTCATTTATTTACTTTGTAATGACACATCCCCTCCGCAATAAAACTTTAACACAAGCGAACATTAAACCAGTGGACAGTAAGGCTGCAAGTGCTGTATAGTCAGAAATAAAAAATACTACTACTACTGAGGTCTTATATTGCAATTTTCATCAGTAGTTCTCAAAGTGCTTGACAGTCTAACATATTTATCCTCCCAACGTCCCTGTGAGATAAGGCAGTTTGATTACCCCCATTTTACAAATGAGGAACAGAGAGGATAAGTGACGTGCCCAAGGTCACACAGGAAGTCTGTGGCAGAACAGAGAACTGAACCTGGATCCTAGGCTAGTGCCCCAATAACTGGACCATCCTTCCTCTAGCTCCTTTCTGCATTCTGTAAGTACACAAGACAGCACACACTTATAAAAACCTATATAAGCTTTATTTTTTAAACAAAGCTATTGCTTCCACACAGGTCCCCAAGCGTGCACTGTTGAAAATGACTAAAGGGGGCTTCCTGAAAGTGAACTTTAGCATGAACGGTCTTGTTTTAAGCCTGGAAATAGTTAACGTGATACCAAAGCTGAGCTCCTAATGAAAGCCTAGTCTCTATAGCACTAAATGTGCATTAGCAAGCTCTTCACCTGCACTTGCTTAATTCACAAGTTATGGTTACACAAGAATTTATTATGCTTTCACCATTCCTATAGGAAAAAACCATGATCCAATTCTTTTAATAGAAATCTGCTGAGCTTTCATGCCAGGATGGAATCTCTATGCCTTTATTGTTTTCTTTTCTACACATATGGATGTGGCTATCCTTGCTCCATACAGAAAGGACCTGCCTCATGACACCAAGTGACAATATTTTGGAACCCTAAAACTTGGAGGGCATGAAGCTTTACAGGACACAGGGATGTGTTGATGCTTGTCATCATGTCTGAAGGCTGGAGTTTGGGGGTTAATAAGTACATGAGAAAAAAAATTGTGATTCAATAGGCAGAAGCACTGAATTATTTTGAAACTGATTGTAGAGGTATCTTAACCAGAGCAAAAGCAAGCAGAGAGTGGACATATTAGCAGGGGCTATTTCACAGGAGCACCATAGCATAAAAAGGGTGTATATGTTTTTAGAGGTCCATCAAGTCTTATTTCCATTAATCCAAATATTAATTTTCAATTCATCTGAAATTATAACTGTTGTACAAACAAGCCATTTCACTATAATTGCTGTAGGCACAAGTATTTCTTTAACACCAATTATAGCAGCATGGACAGGTTTGTTTAGGTACCACCTACGTTACAGTCTCACTCTGAGGCAAAGCATAATTGGGCATCCTGACTGATTCACAGTGCCAAAATGCAGTTACTGCACATATGAATGTGCACACACAGACATGTACGCTGGGTAAACATCTCATTGAGCATGCACAGTTTCATGTCCCAAATAACTGTGGGTGCAAATAGTGAGTGAGGTAATATCTTTTATTGGACCAACTCCTGTTAGTGTGAGACAAGCTTTTGAGCCACACAAAGTTCTGAGTCAATAAAAAAATATTACCTCACCCACCTTGTCGGTCTAATATCCTGGGTCCGACAGGGCTACAGCTATATTGCATACATGGTGCAAAGAGTATTTCCACATCTACGTATTTAATTTGTGGGAGCAATCAAATAGCTTGATGAGGAAAAGTCACCATTTCTGCCTGCAACTTGTGGGTGCAAAACTGCAAGTCCAATTATTTGTAGAAGCAGAGCTCCTCCTGCAAAATGAGAGACTCATTTCAAACTTGGGCGTTATGTTTGTTCTATATTCATTAACCAAGTCAGAGCTGTCAGAGACTTAGCCAATGTGCTTTTTCATAAAAACAGCTCTCATAGTGGGTTCTCAGTGACTATTTTTGAATCCACCCAACAGTTACTTTAGTTCAAAACACAGTTAATTTCCTTTTGTTATCATCTTACCATGGTTCTCTTCATCTAATCCATCATCTCCCCACTGCTCTTCATTTGCTAGCAGTGGATTCTGAGCTTCACACAATGTTCTCATAGGGAAGGAATGTCCATCACCCTTGCTGGGAAGACAAAGGCAGAAAAAAGCTACTTCCAACTTGCTTCATTTGAAGGTTGAAATACAACTTTACTCCTTGTTTTAGGTTTGACTCAAGCCCAAAGCAAGTCTTTGCATTTCCAGAGATTACTTTTAAAGGACTACGTTCTGGAAAATACTGGGTTCAATTTTGGAACCTTGTTTTGACAGAAGCTTATAGACCATGTTTTAAAGTGACTTTCATCTTGAATTCTTGCAAAAGATCAGTGGGATAAAGATTATAGTCTGAATTCATTACTGGTGTAACTCAAATGGAGTTTAGCCCAATCATTTAAATATAATCAAGATAGATAGCTAATTGTAATCGTTCTAGAGCAGAGGTGGGCAAACTACGGCCCGGAGGCCGCATCCAGACATTTTAATCCGGCTCTTGAGCTCCAGCGGGGGAGTGGGATCCGGGGTTGGGGGCTTGCCCCACTTCGCGCAGCTCCTGGAAGCAGCGGCACGTCCCCCTTCCGCCTCCAAGTGTAGGGGCAGCCAGGGAGCGCTGCACACTGCTCCAGCAGCTCCCATTGGCCAGCAACCACGGCCAATGGGAGCTGTTGGGGCAGCGCCTGCGGACGGGGCAGTGTGCAGAGCCACCTGGCCATGCCTCTGCATAGGAGCTGGAGAGAGGACATGCCGCTGCTTCCAGGAGCTGCTTGAGGTAAGCAGGGTGTCAGGGGTGCACCGCCCGGAGCCTGCACCCCTGACACCCTTCTGCGCCCCAACCCCCTGCCCCAGCCCCACCCCAGAACCCGCACACCCCCAGCCGAAGCCCTCACCCCCCACCAACTCCCAATTTTGTGAGCATTCATGGCCTGCCACACAATTTCCATACCTAAATGTGGCCCTTGGGCCAAAAAGTTTGCCCACCACTGATCTAGAGTGAGAGAGACTGACACACACATGTCCACAGAGAAGATCCAGACCACCTGTACACTATGGAGCTGTGCTCTGTGGCAGTTTCATTCATCCATGTTAACAGGAAGCCTGGGTGGACAAGGCAAAGATGTTTGCTGATGGGTCTATGCCTAACCATCTTCCAGTCAGCAGTACAGGTGGAAGCGTAGCAATGAGGCTGCAGCAGCTGCTGCTTAGGAGTGACTCCCTAACCACTTCTCATCTACATGCGAAGATACCAGCTCCTCTTGATTCTTGCAGAACTCCGCAATACATAGCTGGTCGACACTCAGGCTGGGACCAGGATTTGGCCTCAGTTTCATGGTATTGGCCTCTTTTCCACTGTTTTGATTACCACTTACCTGGATACAATAGGTAGTAACCACAGTTTCTTTTCCTCTCCAAACACTTGCTGAAGATTCTTTACGAAGCCCAGATTAAATCCATTTTTATCTGGGCCATTTTGAAACACTGGAGCTGAGAATGCCTCTAGGGACAGATACCATTATAGGGAAAAAAACGAAAGAAGCAAATGTTAAATAAAATATTTTATGCTAAGGCTGCAACATAAGGTGTCTAAGATTTTTCAAAACCTTGCTTTGTTACACATTAAAGTGATACTGTATCTTCATGAGAATTTACAATGGACAAATCCTGAGATCCCTTCCTCACTCGTAAACTTCATCAAAATCAAAGGAAGCCCAGTTAGACTATTAGGAAAATAATACATATTTAATGAATGCAAAGTAAATTACCGTGTATATGCTATACAGTAGCCATCTTTGAGTACACTAAGCCAGTGGTTCTCAACCATGGGTAAGTGTACCCCTGGGCATACTCAGAGGTCTTCCAGGGGGTACATCAACTCATCTATATATTTGTCTAGTTTTGCAACAGGCTACATAAAAAGCACTAGCGAAATCATTATAAACTAAAATTTCCATACAGACAGTGACTTGTTTATATGGCTCTATATACTATACACTGAAATGTAAGTAAAATATTTATATTCCAATTGATTTATTTTATAATTCTAAAAATGAGAAAGTCGGCAATTTGTTAGTAACAGTGTGCTGTGACACTTTTGTATTTTTAGGTTTGATTTTGTAGGCAAGTAGTTTTTTAAGTGAGGTGAAACTTGGGGGTACACAAGACAAATCAGACTCCTGAAAGGGATACAGTGGTCTGGAAAGGTTGAGAGCCACAGCACTCAGCAATTAAACATACCACACCGTGGACCAAAATGGAAAAGTTACAGGGATGAATGTGGAGATCACAGGCATTTCTTTTTGCATGCCTATACATCTTTACATTATTATTTCTCTTATATTAAAATTGATGGCATGGATTTGGTTTTGCAGATGAAACCCACAGAATAATCATAAAACCAATTACTGATGTTTTCATTTAATCCCCCAAACAAAAATTATAGAATGAAGTTTATTATTTAACGTGTTTAAACATTCTTTCATGAGACGTGCTCTGAATTTCACCGGAAAGACACAAAAATTGGAGAATTTCTAATCCGAAGACTGGAAGCATAAAACGGAAACAAACTCCCTTCTACGAACCATATCTCAAGTATGGAAATTCAGACTGCTTGATGAATTAACACTTATCTTTTAAGAGTTAGGGTAGGATATACAGACCCTGTGTTGAGAGATAAAAGCGGTGCAGGGAGAAAATGATAAAATAGAGGGCATTAGAAATAGTATTTTTGAAGTTACCTTCTACACTGTTGTGCAGAGACCTAATGCTTCAGGCTAGCACAAAGGCCTATAGATGAGATCTAGTGCCCTTTGAAAACGAGTTTTAAAGGCAAACCTATACTAGGTCTGTGCAAGAAAGAGAGATTAATTGTGTGTGTGGAACTTTGCAAAAAAAAGTTTCAATTTTTTCAAGCCACTTTGTCATTCAAAAATGTCACAAAATGGTAGTATCTGCATTGAAAAACGTGATATTTGTGCTCTGATGTGAAACCTGATCTTCATCCAAATGCATTTTCAAATTTTGAAACTTGGAAGATTTTTGGCTCAAAAACCATGGAATTTCAGCAGTTTTTCACAAAACTGGTCCAATTCCACAGTCCTACCCTCATTCACCATCAGAAAAGATGGATGTCTTTTTGCTCAAACCCACTTGCTGTTTTAGGGCCTGCTCCAGCAAACACACATGTAAGTAAATTTACTTACAGGTAGTCCCATTGACTTCAGTCAGTAAAGTAACGCATAAGCATTTGCAGGATTGGGCCCTTCTATTTTAGTCTCCACGTCTCCAATTGAGCTTTTGTCAGCTGAAGAGGAAAACCCCCCAGCAGTGTGAATTAGAAATCTTTTTATTTAAATGCTTTTTCAAATATTTGCTGGTATACCTAGAGGTGAACAGCACATGCTTTTTTAGAACATTGCTTTATGGTGTACACATGGAATCTTACCCAAAGTAGACCTATTTCTACTGACGAGCCAACAGTGGTAGCCAAAGAGAAACATCAGGCTTAGAAAGAACATGAGTGCCACAAAAAGAAGGAAAAGCACATGGAACTTGGAACGTCCATTGGTCAATTCGTCCTAGAAATAAAAGCAAAAAAGGATAAAGGACATGAAAAACACAGAGAAAGAAATCTTGGTGCCTAAAGGAATCAGCTGCTGTTACCCTGTATTTACTAAGAATATGTAGGATGTGTGGGGTTTTCAGACTTGCAGAAAAAAAAAAAAATCACCTCTCCCTATGATGAACAGACAAGACAAAGAAGAAATAAGCTGTCTCTTTCCCTCATCACTTCCAAAGCAGATATACAGTGGGGCTTTGCTATTAATTCTTTGTATGGAACAGGGCCAGTATGTTCACAGTCCCCCATATGGGTAGGAGAAGTGTCTCCTATGCCCACAGTGAATTTGGCAGGCAATAACAAGTGCTTTGAAAGCCTGTTCACATTCTGCTGAGTTTTCTTTAATCTTCATATTTTCCTGGATGCACATTAATACGCTGCCATCTTTTCCAATGGCTACATTCCAATTTAAGAGATCAGAAATTTGAACTCCCTCTCTCAGCTATAACAGCAACAAGCAGGTACATCAAATCCTGATGACAGCTGTCTACAGTTAGTAATAGCCCAGAAAATCTTACAGGTGGCTGAAAATGCTTCATTTCACATTAAACTGTTGGAGCATGAGGACCCCTCTAGCACTTAACTCCTGCAGTTTAGAGACAGACTGTACCTACCCCCTGCAAGTGAGCAAATGTGCAAAAACCTTCCTCCATCTTACAAGTCCTACATAGCGTAATGGAGAGTTACAATACCTTTGCCCTCCTTAGCACGTGGACTAATTCCCATTAGTGCCCCACAGGGGTGTCTGGGTTGGAGGTATGGTTTACAGCACCATTGATTATAAAATTGAGGCCAGAGAGATTAAGGGTACATCTACACTGCAATAAAAACACCCACAGATGGACCCAAAGCCCAGGCTCCAGTTTAAGCCCCAATGTCTACACTAAAATTTGATAGCTTCACAGCCTGAGTCAGCTGACACAGGCCAGCTGCAGGTGTTTTACTGCAGTGTAGACATACTCTAAGTGACTTGGCCAAAGTCACAAAGTGAACCAGCAGGCATTAGAAAGCAAAAGTCTTGAGGCTACATCTCCTGGTCCGTCAGCTGACACTGCCTCCATATAAACCAACTGTAATATAAAGTAGTGCTCAGTATTTCAGTCTGACTTTTAAGCCAAAAAAGAGAAACTATAAGGAGACAATGAAGGTCAAAGCAGTTTCTTTGAATGCCATATCCTAATATGAATGTGTGTAGATCAATGGCAGGACAAAGCTCTTTATATTAGTTCTAACTCAGAGAAAAGAAGAGGAGGGCAGGTGTACTGCAGGAACTAAGCTTATGGAGACAAGCGGGCAAGTAACATCATGAAAACTAACACCCAGGTAGGTTTAATTTACTCTTACTCTCACTTGCTCCCTTAACACACTAGACTTGATCCACAGGAGCAAGGATTCAGAGAAGGTTGGGAAAGTGGGTCTGGGAATTACAGGAAAAGTCACAGAAAAGAATATACTCCACTTAATAGTTTCCTGCAATGCTAATGAAAATGTATATGTGGTGATCATGCAGCCACTTAATACATTTCAAATGTTGGTTCCTTGCTAATTTTTACCCAGGAGACAACTATCCCCTCAGGCAATACAAGCACATAAAGAGATGAGATGACATAATTTTTCAGTATTTCCCAAATAATAGTTGTACTTGGATTTAGGAAGATTCTTCGTGTTCTGTTGCAAGATCACCACAACGATGTACTGATTCTGACTTGCTTCATACTTCTACCTCTCTAGTCATAAAGGTCATTCCAGACATGATTGATATTCATTTGTAGTTCTCTTATATCTGATCTCTCTCTCTGTGAGTCTTTACATTCCCCTTACACAATACATAGGACAGTTAAAAAAATGAATACATTAAAACTGCAACTGGCAACAGTGATCCCTGTGCTGTGTTGCTCAAATCAGTTCTGGCACAGCGTGTGTTACTGTTACCTTCGTTCTCCCCCCATCACTTACTCCTTCTTATAGTTTAAACACACTTGTATTTTGTCTAAAATTAGGCTGCAAGTTCTGGGTCCTAAAGACTGGCTGAAAATGTGCCTTTTCATGCACAAATTTGGTAGCATTTGTAGAAGAAATTTAAAATCAGGTTTAGCATTTTTCAGCCAAAACCTTTCTACAACTGGAGCCTATTTTCTCTTCAGTTTGTGCATACACCTCTACCCTGATATAACGCGACCCGATATAACACGAATTCGGATATAACGCGGTAAAGCGGTGCTCCGGGGGGGCGGGGCTGAGCACTCCGGCGGATCAAAGCAAGTTCGATATAATGCAGTTTCACCTAAAATGTGGTAAGATTTTTTGGCTCCCGAGGACAGCGTTATATCGGGGTAGAGGTGTATTTCAGTCACAATGTGAGTTAAACTGACATACAGAATGTAAGACAAAGCCCCCTACTACTGAAATGCAATATATTTTTCTGTGGAATGACAGTAAGAGTAACACAGCAGAGTTTAAAGCCACAATAAGAGTAATAAAATACATAAAAGTAACATGAACTTACTGTCCAATACTTGATGACATACTTGAAGACTGTTGCAGCAATATACATGCAATACAACAAAGAATACATTAAAAACAGTAGAAAGAATTTGTAGTTAGAAAATCCAACGCAGTTATTCACCCTATAGAATTAAAGCAAAGTTGAAATCAGGATACTTACAGCACACGTGGTCCAAAGACAAGGAATACGAAAGTGATTTTTAAAAATTTTTCTTTATGTGCTTGATTATATAAAACAATCTGTTCAATAATAGCTCCCCTTAGTGGTAACAATGAAATGTAACTGAGTTCTTGTTTACTTTTGTATTTTACCTGCAAGCAAGAGTGACACCAAGCAAAACATGATAAATGTATTTGATAACATCAAAAGACCAGACCTCAATCAGTTTGGTCTCATTGCTAGTTTGTCACAGAGATGGGCTCAAGCTGCAAAATTCATATCTGTATCTGGATTTCAAATGCCCCAAACTCTGAAGGTATTCAGATTTGGGATTTTGATTTGGCTTGTATGGGCCATTTGGGCCTCATTCACCACTGATATCCACCTCGTGGAAAATTTACTCATGTGCAAAGTGAGTGCAAAATGGTAGTAAATCAGAATTCTCCATTCACATTGGTGGTAGCGTCTTATGCCTTCTTTATACATGTGTAAATCTCTCCACTAGGTGTAAATCAGTGGTGAATCAGACTCACATCTGGACCTGGGTTCAAATTTGGAACCCCCTACACAGACGTATGTCTGTGTTGACTCTGGTTCCTGAAGTCTCCCTTCTAGTAAAAGGTAGAGAGTAGCAGAGCTGGGAAAACCCAATGACAATAATTCAAAAATCATAACCCAGGTAGTTCTGGGAAATAAGTATATGGGGGCAAACTCTCTAAGTGTGATCTTAAATTTTTCATGCACTATTCTGCAGACACTATCATATATGCACAAATGACACCATTTCATATGCATACTGCATGCAAATATTATTGGTGGGTGCAACTACTAACTGCTTGCCCAAATGATTATGTACCCAAAATGAAAGGTAGGGTTGAGGCACCTTTACAAATCTGGGTAATAATCTAAGAGAACATTAGTTTATAACAGCTTTCAAAAATGCAGTTAATAAAATATTAATAAATAATAAAATATTCCTTATTTGTCCTTCAAAAGAAATCAAACGCTCCAGGCAAGCCTTTCCAGTATGGCCATTTCATTCAGTGCCAAACACAGAAAGAGAGACATCCTCCGTGATAAAAGAAAGAGGCATGCGGACACTATACCAACAAAAGGATTTAAACAGCCTTTACTTTCAGAAAGATACAGACCAATATCCTGGACATACCATGGGCAATGATGATCCATTTTTAACACACACCTGCAAAAGGAAAGAAAAAGAATACAACAAAGAGGATCCTTATGTTTGGAACTTAAACAGACTCAAACAAAAAGACTCCACCAACTGTAGGTAAGCAACAAAGTCTTCAGTTTTGTGTTGTATTTCTACAAAGAGATAGATTTAAGATGGCTGCTATCATTCCATCATTCTTAAGGCAGCCACCATTTTTAAGGTGGACTATTTGTTGTTGTTGTTGTAAGAGCTACCGACGTCCTTGGTGCTGTACAAGACAAAAAATGAAGATGGTTCCTGCTCTGGAGTGCTTACAATCTCTGCATTACCAATACATAGCAAAGGCCTGACATATTAAAAAAAAAAAGATTATTTTTTGAATGCACTGACAGTAGCTAGTGCCTTTCATAAGCTGGCAAACCTTCCACCAGATTCACACCCATGCAGGCCCTAGTGTAGGAAACTATAACCACAAAACTTCTTAGGCCTGGTCTACACTAACACCCCAATTCGATCTAAGGTACGCAACTTCAGCTACGTGAATAACGTAGCTGAAGTCGACATACCTTAGTTCGAATTTACCGCGGTTCAGACGCGGTCCACACACTTCAGGCAGGCTCCCCCGTCGACTCCGCGGTACTCCTCTCGCTGACGTGGAGTACCGCAGTCGACGGCGAGCACTTCCTGGTTCGAATTATCGCGTCCACACCAGACGCGATAAATCGAACCCGGAAGTTCGATTGCCAGCCGTCGAACTACCGCGGTAGTGTAGACAAGCCCTTAGGGACACAAAGTGTTTTGGGAGTGCAAATGCTAACACTTGCGTGCATGTAGGTGCTGGCACACACATGTGCACAAGACCTAGCAGAGCCCTTTTGATTGTTTCGCCCTTACTGTTTGGCTGTTCTTGAACACAGAAAAACATCTGGGTACCTCTGTGTTTATAAGGACATGTTCAAGACATTGTCATTTTTGTTGCTTAGCAGTGGCTCAATTCACTGGTGTCAAAACATTTCAATAACTTACATAGCACAAACAGAACAGTGGTGACAACGGTCAGGCTTGATTAGCTGGCATCTATCACAGAATCGAATAGCTAAAATTAAACACAGAAGCATTAGTGTTAGTAGTTCGTGTTAAATAAGGAGCAAGAAGAGAACACACACTTAACATTCTGTTCATGTTCTCATCCTTTCCCGCATAACTGGCTTCCTATACAACTTGACAGTTGATTCAGGCTGCCAGGCAAAAAACAGATAAATGGTGGTCCTAATACTCCTAGGGGCTGGCTTTGCGGTGAATGTATATCCAGCTCGAAGGTAGTCAAAAGAAACATAGAAACAGGATGTGTGTGTACATGTACATTTGTGTTGTGGCTTTGAAAAAGCTCCATTTAAACAATGGCCTAGTACAAAAGTTGCTTACTTCAGATCCTAAGATTGCTGACTAAAGAATACACCGGCCTGAATGCTGCAGCAACTCCAACCATAGAACTCCTTTAGGCTTCAACAAGAGTTCTATGTGTTACTCCGGAGGGCATTCTGTGCCAAAAACTTAAAAATTCTGTGCACAATATTTTAAAATTCTACAAATTTTATTTGTCAAATAAATGTGGAGGCTCCAGCATGGCTTTGGTGAGCACAGGCCACTGGCTGCACAGAGGTGGGAGATCACTGTGCAGCTTCCCCCCGGGACACGGACTCAGCAGTGAGGCTGTACCCAACCCTGACATAGGGCAAGGACCGGGCCTGCCCCAGAAACACCCCAGGACCCCGCCCCTGTGCCAAGTGCACCAGGTGTGGGCAGGCAGGCTCAGCCAGGCAGGATCCAAGTGTAGAGGGGCTTAGTGTGAGGGGATCCAGGTGTGGGTTGAGGGGGTTCTGTGTGGGGCAATCTGCGTGCGGGTGGCTCAGTGGGGGATCTGGATGCACAGGGGCTTGTTGGGGGGCTTCTGGGTGCAACGTTAATGGGACTCTGCAGGTGGGCCCAGATGAAGGTGGTTGGGGCTCAGCGGGGGGTGTGTATCTGGCTGTGAGGGGACAGAGATCGGCAGGGGAGTCCGGGTACGGGTGGTGGTGGTGGGGGAGCCTCAGTGGTGGGGTTCAGATGCTGGGGAGTGGGGCAGGGATCCAGGTGCAGCTAGTTGGGGCTCAGTATGGTGGGGATCCGGGTGTGAGTGGCTCGTCAGGGTGGTCCAGGTGCAAAGGGAGTGGGGCTCGTAAGGGATGGGGAGTAGGGGTGTTTCTGTTTGCAGGGGAGGGGTGAAGTTTGGTGGGAGGGTCTGGATAGGAGGCGGTCTGGATGCACAGGGGATGGACGGATGGCGGAGCAGCTCCCTGTACAATGATCCCTCCCTCTGCAGCTGAGGAGCGATGGATGCAGGAAGCATGTTGGGGGTGGAGTTTGCAGAGCTTCCTACAGCTGAGGGGAAATCTAGGGGAGGATCTGACACAGCCCTGCAGGGCCAGCTTTAGGCCGATTCCCCCGAATCGGGCCCTGCGCCAGCAAGAAGAGCGCCTAACTTAGGCGCCTTTTTAATTTTTTTACTCACCCAGCGGCGGTCCGGGACTTCGGCGGCGGGTCCTTCACTCGCTCCGGGTCTTCGGCGGCATGTCCTTCAGTGCCGCGGAAGACCCGGAGCGAGTGAAGGACCCGCGACCGAAGTGCCGCTGAAGGCCTGGACCACCGCCGGGTATTCGAATCGGGCCCCGCACTTCCTAAAGTCGGCCCCGCAGCCCTGGATGCTGTGCAGGGGAAGAGGAAGTCCCACGTCCTCCCAGCCCAGCTGGGACTAGTAGCTGAGCCCAGCACAGGGTAGGAGCCACCAGCCAGGTCTTCCCAAGTCCCGCCCCCGGCCCCACTGTGATTTACCTCTCTGCCAGCTGCACTGGGCATCCAAAACATACTGCTGGGGAGGGTCACATGACCGCTCTTGTGGCTTCCCTTTGCTTCCCTGTCAGAAAGTCATTTTTCTGCAGGGAAGCAAAGAAATCTGCAGGCGACAAATTCTGTGCATGCGCAGTGGCACAGAATTCCCCCCAGGAGTAACAATGTGTATTTGGCTGCAGAACTAGGTCCAGGAGGGACAATAACTGTTGACCTCATTATTGGACCATGTCCTGCAGTCTTTACTCAGGCCAAACCCTCTTTGAAATGAGAAAAAAAGGCTACACGATTTGGTTCTACACATATGTGTAATTTGGCTTCCATCTTTGAGGGGGCAGCTTCAGTCAGGCCAAAGGGGCCACGTGGTGGGGCAGGGGAACAAATTCCATGCCTGCCCGAGCTGTAGTTTGGGGGGCAGGGAGGGGAAGATACCCTCTTATCCCCCCCAAGCTATGCCCATGATTCTACATTAATAAGTATAGCCTGGGAACCCAACTACAGTCTCCAAACTATAAATACAGAAAGGAAGACAACATAAGGCTACTAAGCACCCGGCACTCTATTTGGAAATGGGATAAGTAATCAAGGATTTCTCGTTTTCCCCAATCAGGAGGGTTGGAGGAAGAAGCCAGGAAGGAAATCCTTTTAAACTAATATTATTTCCTCAGCATTAAAGTTCTGAGCACCGAAATCCTTTAGCAGTATGTCTTGGCACGAGGGATTTGCGGTTACTTGCCACTATAAGCTGGATTGCCAGCATACAATGCTTAGCAAGATTGAATAGATTTACATCAACAAAGCCCTCTGCTTAGCTGACCTCCATTCCCCGTTCTTGTGTACACTGGCAACTTCCTTGCAATTTCGACAAGAATCTGCCTCTGCACCTCCGGTCTCTCTTCATTTTCATAGCGCTCTTTGTCAGCATAGGACATATGGAACTAGAAGCAGAAATGATGAGAGGACCAGTTATCCATGTGTAGTACAGTAATATTTCAAAGGCAGGCCAGGTTGGAAAAGCCATTATCCTCCCACTACTTCCAAAGCACAAACATTAATCACACTTAGAAGGGCTTTCATTTATGAGATAAACAGAGAGGTATTCACTGTTGGACAGACCAAATGCTGGGGAACTAACTGATTCACTCATAAGAGACACAAACTGAAACTGAGGTCACAGCATAATATATTAGCTTCACTACATGTTGCCTTAGATGTTTCCTCTCCATTAAATAACTACAATAATAATGATGATAATAATAATAGCGGCACCTACATTGCACGTTATGAGGCAGATTCTTTTCTCAGTTACATTAGTTCAAATCTGGAGTATTCCACTGACATAAATTTACATCTTTGTAACTAAGCTCAGACTCTGGAGCGGTATTTTTAAAGTGCTGCACAAACATTCATTAACTCAACCTCATAACAGCCTTCTGAGGTTGGTATTTTGCCAAATATTTTACCAAGGGGTATAATGAAGCATAAAGAAGTGAAGTGACTTGAGTATAGTCAGACAGTAAATCAATGTCAGAGCAAAGATTAGAATCCAGGAACTCCTGGCTCCCAGTCCTGTGCTCCAATGAGGCATGGCCTCTGTCTTAAAATACCTAAAATTAAGAATATGATTTGTCAAGTAAATGAATCACAATCTGCATTTTGGTGAAGTGATTCCTCCAAATGCCTCTCCTCCCTCATTGTTGTGCTCTTGGACAGTGATTTTTCTATTTCTATTATCACCACGGAAGGACATTTTGCTACTGGGATAAGTGTCTCCTATGTGTATATAGGCAGGGATTGGCAAATTAAACAATAGACACATGCCTAGGGGCCTGGCTCCCACAGTCATGTGATGTCAGAATTTCAGCTTTCATTTAAAACAAAAAATATGTTTCAAGCCTTCCTGGTTGCCAACCCCCACCCCGAAAGTATGAACCGAGTGTAATCAATGCAGTGACATTTGTCTGAGTCTGCAGATAGCCTCTAATCGAGGGCAGACCAGCCAACACTAGAACCAGGGAGAAAAATCACCTGGCCCACACCCACTCCAGGAGGACAACTGACATGCCTCCAAGGGTGCAACACTTTTGCTGCTCAAGAGGCCCTGTCACCACTACCAGTGCACCCTTTGGGGACCTCCAGGCAGGCATGCCTAGGGCTCCATATTGTTTTAATCCAGCTCTGTATAAAGGAGCCAAATCTCAAGGTCCTTACTCAGGAAAAATTGTCATGGAATTGGTGTGAAGTTAGACTGAGTAAGAACTTCAGGATTGGTTAAATGCTTAGGAATCGAAGACATTAAAATATGTAAATTAACAATAATAAATCCCATTATCCTTGACCATTTAAAATCCTGTTAGCTCCTAAACCACTTGAAAGTAAAGCAACACCATGCCTGCTCTAAGCTCCATAGACAGCTTAATTTAAACAATTCTCAGAACGGTTCAACTGCACTCTTTTTTCTGGACAGCCACAGACACGTTTCCATCTAGCCAGGAAGCCTCATCAGTTGTCCCTGGCCACAATAGTATAGATGGATTTCTTGAATTCTCCCTTTGTCTCCACTTTCTTCTTTTCATTGTCTTAGGCTTGCAGTCGATGAAAAGTACTTAGGCCCTTACCTTTTTATCTGGCTGCAGCGGAAGAGTAAAAACAGACTTCCAGTATGTCCACACAAAGAGCACAAAGATGACATGGAATACTATGAGGTAGGCCACTAAGAGAAGAAAAGAATAATGAATCATAAGCAGAAGTCACTCTATACTCTTCACCATTCAGGGTGCTTCATTTAAAAAATATTATGTTCCAACGGAATTTTATATCACGGGAAAAATCAAATATCTTATGAACTGTTAACTACAGCTGTCAAAGCTCATTGACAAAGCAAAATGGGAAAACATTTCTTTTCAGCAAGTTGGCAAAACAGGAAATGATCACAGCTGTGGGGCAGGGTTGTAATCCATCAGAGATGTCATTATCATATGAAAAACAAGGTACCTGGAACAATCTTATGTCAATATACAAACTTCTTTACTTGAAAGAATTTGGGAGGACACAGACATTGAAATGAGGCATATGAAGAGACTCAGAAGGGCAAAGGGCAGTTCTGCATCAGCTTTGCAAAGCACTTGGATATCTTTTTAAATGCTCAAACACACTACAATATTAACTACTGTTATATCCATGGGTGGCGAGTAGCATAGGCCGGGGAAGGCTGTGCCTACCCAAACAGCCTAGTGTGGCCCTGCCCATGCTCTGCCCACAAGATCCCTCCTGCCTGCTTCCAGTTCCCTTCCTGCTCTTCTGTGGCGGGGCCGGTATGCACAAGACCCGGGGCTGTGGCCACGCTGCACTGCCCGTCAGTCCACCCATGCTAGGACCACACGCCTGCCCAGTGCTCCGGGGCTGGGGGCACTCCGGCTGTGCCGCCCACCCACTCAGTGCTGGGACGGAGGGCATGCAGGGGGGACTGTGGGGGAAGTGGTGCTCCGGGCTCCGGCGAGCAGAAGTGGAGGTGCAGGGCCTCGGGTAGGGGGGGAGGGCCAGGGGCTAGCCTCCCACAATGGCACATTCACCCACCACCCACAGTTATATCTGCAAATACCAGACAGCCTTATTTATAAGTGTGTCACTTAAATAGCTACAATATGTGCTTTTCCCGATCATGTTGAACTCAGAATTAAAATGACCACCACAGGAAGAGTCAGAAGGCTATAGTCCAAAGCAAATCCTGTTTCCTTACTCAGATTTTATGGCAATTTAGCTAGTGTAAAGGCTGAGTACAGACTTGAACATTTGGCCCTTTCAATGTGAATAATAAATTATCCACATTGGGGCAGGTACGTTATTGATAACTTCAGTTTATTTATTTGAAGTGTGCTCATCACACTGCCTCTGGGCACACACACAATTAAAAAAACCTCAAAAATAATCTATTGCAGAGCTGAGAATAGAACTCAGGTCCCCCTGATTTCTGGTCTTGTTTCTTACCCACAAGACCATCCTTCTTCAGTTAGCTTTTTTGCACAATTCTATGCAATATGAGATTACACCTTCCTCTGAAGCATCCATGTTGCCCACTGTTGTAGACAGAATGCCTGTTTAGATGCATTATTGATCTTTCCAGTGTGTCATTCGCTATATTATATATATATATATATATAGATAGAGAGAGAGAACGAACTAGAGTACAGTAATTTAGGAAGTAATGTAGGATTCTCTGTGCATACCAATGATTTACATGGTATGTATACATGTGCCGGACTGAAAAAATTCTGAGAGGTTGAGGTGTCCTAAAAGCTCTTTTACTTTCTCTGTGAAATAAACAGTAGCTTACTTCACAACCCCTCAAAGGCCTGGTCTACACTGGGGGTGGGGGGGAAATCGATCTAAGATACGCAACTTCAGCTACGAGAACAGCATAACTGAAGTCGACGTATCTTAGATTGACTTAGAATTACTTACTTCGCGTCCTCGCAGCGCGGGATCGACGGCCGCGGCTCCCCCGTCAACTTTGCTTCTGCCTCTCGCCGAGCTGGAGTTCAGCGGTCGACGAGAGAGCGATCAGGATCGATTTATCACATCTACACTACACTCGATAAATCGATCCCCGATAGACTGATACCCCAAGACGTACCCCAAGACATTTTCCATGCTCCTTCCCAGGACTTACTGAGTGACATCAGTAAAGAATTTCTACTCTGGATAGTGCAAAGTAGTCTTAAGCAAGTCACCCTTATTTAAGAAAGCTCATCTCAGGAGTAATGGAATTCACAGTGGAAATGGCTCCCACTGAGGTAGATCCAAATATTCCACTGACTTCAGATGAAACAGTGAACTGCAGAACAGCAATGCACTGTTTTTGGGGGCACATATTTTTAAATAACATAGGCAGAATGAAAAAGACATAACTAAGGGATGCTAGTTATTTGGGAGTAACAAGCCACTAGCTCATTCTGTGGTATCCCAGCAGGATAGGGCAAGCACTCAGTCATTCTTAAACCAGCATTTAAGGAGATAACTCTTGCTGATAGTTTAGTTATGCTGGTTAGGTGGCACAGTGGGGCTTCTCTGGGAAAAAAGGGTCAGGTGAGCAAACTTTTCTGCAGGGAACTTACATGCAGTGATTTAAGTTCACTGGCAAACTTTACAAATAAGATATATTTTGCTGGATCATCATTAACTTATTGCCACATTTTCTACATTTCCTTTGTGACCACTTAAGATATTGGGGCAGTACTAGGCTGCAAAGAGAACCTGCTTGATGCACTGAAAGAGGAGGCCATCAGGGAGTGAGTTACAGCTCCCCAGTTCTCTGCTTTGGAAGCTGTTCTTGTATGTTCCGGCTGACATGGGTCCTCAAGGGCCAGTCTGCCAGATGAGGATCAGCAAAGCTGCTACGCCTCCCCATCCCCTGGGATGGGTTGTGTGGGAGCGATGTATGCCAGCTGTACACCTGCTGGGGACTCTCCCATGCTGTGGAAATCTCCAGCAGGGGAGACAGTGCCAGACTGCATCCCCTTTGTACCATTAAAGTAGCACAAAAGGGATGGAGCAGGACAGAGAATTTGGCTCAAAGGGCCAAATGGCAAAACTCCCATTGACCCCATCGCATGGGGCTGGAATTTAACCCACTGACAGTACGTGTCAATGGTAGCTCTGTCTACTCCTGCCTGCTCCTCCTGCCTGATTTATTCAGTGACCTTGCAGTTCTATTTCTGTTCCCATGAGAATAAACTGTCACATTACTAAACAAATTTGAAGAAGGTGCATGTGAACAAGGAGAGTGCAGTGGTGAACTAGTAATGGGACATAAAACCTTTCACCCCTCGGCCACTAGTCGTAATTCATATAGAGACTGTAGTCTGAAAGTCATTATCATTCAATGGCTGCCCAGTGGCCTATGGAAAATGAGTTTAGTGGTCTTGGTCAAGAGGTATCTATTTTACAAAACCATTACAAGTGGCATTAATTGAATGCCTCAATACAGCAATGAAGAAAATTAATTGGGTCCACAGAGACTGAAATACTGTTTAGAGATAGTATTTTTACAGAAAAAGTAGGATAATGTGTGTGAAGGTGATTTGGGAGCATGCCCTGTTGCCCGTGTTGTACTTGTTCTGGGAATAAACAGAGGATTTCCACTTGCAATTGGCACCTTTCACTAGTACAGAGAGAGATTAGAACACTTCTCTTGATACATGCTATATATATCCTGGTAATCTGCAATCAGGAGGAAGGAAATATTGAAAGAGTATGATGGTTTAATGGAATTCTACAAGAAGTTATTGTTTGTGGTCTGCTGGAGTGTGGAAATGTTTGCTTTTAAATTTTCTTGTTACTGAACTGAAAGATCCTACTATTTGGAGATTCAGTGCGAATACCCTTTCCCTCTCTTCCCTTGAGAGCTGTTATGTATATAAATATACAAAAAATGATTTTCAATTGCTTTCTTTTAAGTAGATGTTCATGCACTTTTGGAACTATGGACAAATGCCAAGATATTTAATAAGATTCACCTACCTTGTTCTACAGGATTGGTTAGAGTCACTGAAAAAGAAAAAACAAGTATATGTTTATGCAGCAGATGAAATTCCCAAAGCAGTCTATAATCTTTTCTAAAACAAAATCAAAAAGAAAAAAAAAATTTCAATATGCTAGAAGATCAAAAAGAAATGATTCCCAATTTTGATCATTAAACCATGATCAGACATAACACTACACCTGGGAAAGCATCTCTTCATTTATTCACTTGAATGGTCTCCATAATAAAATGTTCAATCATCTTAGTTACACTGTATTTTCCATTCCTACAAAATGTAATTTTTCTCAGGAGTCCCAATGGTATTGATGCCTGCAAGATAATCAGGGCTCCTCTAACAGCCTGTCCAAATAACATCTTCACTTATTTACTGATATGCCTGCTTGGAGCTAGTTTCCAACTGCTTTCATTTCTACATTGGAAGTCTTGTTTATTAATATCCAGGGATGTACAGTTAATTTTGTATCAATGTAAAATTAAAATAGACTGTCATGGCCTAGCCAGGTAGCCAATCAGTGGTACTCTGCAATGACACACAGGGTTTGACTTGGACCCATCTAGCTGCAATCTGGATTAACAGGGCACCAAGAGCACTATTGGAGCTCACAGCTTGCTTCAGCCTGCAGGGAGGAGGGGCACATTGCTCTACAGCTACTCTGAGTAAAGAGCAGTTGCATAGTGAGGAGGCAGGGGAGAGCTGTGAGAGCTTTGTGTTGCTCAGTAGTTACCCCCCAGGTTGATTTAAGGAGTTGCAAAATTGGCAAACTGCAATAGGAGATCTGCCCAGTTCTCAGCTGGTGATTAGTGGCTATGAAGCTGAGCCTTGCTGGTGGATAAAAAGAACAAATTCTCAGGAAATGCACAAGTGTCATTAGCCACAATACATTTTTGGTAAAGAAACTGAGGTCCAAAAAGATCCTGTCATTTTAGCGGATACTTCTCCCTCTTCCCTCATTTCCAAATTTGTCTGTCTCTCTCCCTCTCTCTGGGGAGGGAACAAGATTAAAAAACCTATGTTACAGAAAATTGGGTGTTTTTTAACTCTCTTACAAGTATGGCAAATATTTCTAAAACTGGCTGTTGAACAAAAACACAGTTACTCCATCTGGGAAACTGAAGATATAAAGTTACACAGGTAACTTTACACATATGATCAGACATTTTGATACAGCTTAGTATGTGTAATTACACCTTTGATTTTTTTTTTTAAAGTTTTAACACCTTTTGGCAAACTCTCAAACAAACAAGCTTTTGGGCAGTGATTTCATTTGCTCCAACAAGCTAAACCTAGTGGGATCAAGACAGTATTTAAAAGGGAGACTATCCCAAGGAAAACATAGAGTTCTACAGGAAGAGATACTGATGAATTAAGAGAAGTTGTTGGTACTATATTGTGGTATTAAGGAGCTCCTACTATTCTTGACTGTCCTGGGGTCATATGATTTAGATGAAGAGTTATAAATGCTTAAGTTAGAATGATAATACACCATCTCTTGTGTCAGTAGCAGGCAACATATGAGTTTAGAAGACACCTTGAAAACTGAGCAGATCTGATCCACATTTATCTAGAAACAATGGCTGGCCCCTCCATGCCATTTTTAGAGTCATTATTCAGCTTCTGGGAAAACATCAATGCTCTGGTCCTTTGGAACTCCCAATGTTTCCAAAACAGCTGCAGTTTCTACCTGGGTAAATAAGACTTAACTACATCAAGTTTCATCTCACCAATTTATCTTATGCCCATGACAGAACATAACTCAGGTCCAGCCTCCTATGCTGAGGGCGGGGTTGAGTAAACCTGGACCTTCCCTGACAGGTGGTGTATGTTTAACCTGCTCTTAAAAACCTCCAACGATGGGGATTCTACAATCTCTCTTGGGAGTCTATTCCAGATCTTAACTACCCTTACAGTTAGAAAGTTTTCTAATAACTAATCTAAATCTCCCCGGTGCAGATTAAGCCAATTACTTCCTGTCCTACCTCAAAGCCCTCTTTATAACAGCCTTTAACACACAGGAAGACTTATCAGGTCCCCCACTCAGTCTTCTTTTCTTAAGACTAAACATGCCCAGTTTTTTTTAACCTTTCCTCACAGATCAGGTTTTCTAAATCTTTCATCATTTTTGTTGTTCTCCTCTGGACTCTCTCAATTTTACAAGATCTTTTCTAAAGTGTGGCCCCCAGAATTGGACACAGTATTCTAGCTGAGGCATGAGCAGTGCAGAGTAGATCAGGACAATCACCTCTCATTTAACATTCCTGTTAGTACACCTCAGAATGACATTAGTCATTTTTTGCAACTGCATCACATTGTTGACTCATATTCAATTTGTGATCCACTATAACCACCAAATCCTTTTCAGCAGTACTTCCATCTAGCCAGTTATTCCCCATTTTATAGTGTTCTGCACTTGGTTTTATTGAGTTTTGGTTTTATTGAATTTTGTCTTGTTGATTCCAGACCACATCTCCGATTTGTCAAGGTCATTTTGAACTCTAATCCTATCTCCCAAAGCTCTTGCAATCTCTCCCAGCTTGGTGTCATCCACAAATTTTATAAGCATACTCTCCATTCCATTATCCAAGTAATTAATGAAAATACTGAACAGTACCTGACCCATGATTGACTGCTTCAGGACTCCACTAGAAACACCCTCCCAGTTTGACAGCGAACCATTGATAACTACTCTTTGAATATGGTCTTTCAACCAGTTCACATGGAAAAATACAAATTAGAATAAGAACTGAGATGTATTGCGTACATTGATGAAGATGGCTTTTGTTAATGCCATGCTATCTGGTACTTTTGAGCCATAGGCTATTTGAAATCAGCAAAGTAATCAGGTTTTTATAGATGAAAAATACAGCAAAATTTATCATTTGTCGATGCACGGTCACTTATTCACATTTGAATAAGTGACCTCTTTTGCAACCAGGGGCTGCTAACAGGGAGTTTCGCAAGGGAGTTCTCCAGGTGAAGGAGGAGCAATACAGCACCCTTTTGGGGTAAGTGACTGTCTGTAGTGTGTGTTTGTTTGTGTTTGGAGGTTATTTGCTGTGTGCTGAGCTTGTGTTTGTCAGTCTGTTTGTTTGTTTGGTTGTTTGAAGGACCGTGTGCTGTAGCTGGCAGTTGGAAGCTGTGAGCTTCAAAGGAAGGTTTGAAACCTAGAAGCCTCTGGTAATTGGCTGAGCCTTAATCAGTGGGCAGGGCATTCATACAGACCAGGGCTTTATAAAGCAGCGCACAAGCGACCAGGGAGCTTTTGCGAACAGGGGCTGCTAACAGGGAGTTTTGCAAGGGAGTTGGGAAAGGGCGAGGGTCCCTTGCCGGTTCTATCTGTTTTCCCTTTATTCCCCTTAAAACTTTATACTTCTTGCTTAAACAACCCTTTCAGCGGACAGGGGGCTGCAGACGGGAGTTTGACAGAGGGAGGCTTACGATGGTTAGGAAGACCCGCAACACTGTGCCAGCACTGCTGGTGTCTCCTCCACCTGCGCCTGTAGCCAGACAGAGCGCCTGAGCATGGATGCTTCTACCCAGATCCTGGTGTGGTTTTGCAGAGACTGTAACTTGCAATTTCCACTTACTGATATCCAGGCTGGGGGGACCATCCAATGTGAAAGGTGCCTGCTGGTGGAAACTCTCAGGCAGCAGGTGGGAGAGCTACAGGAGGAGGTGGCGAGGTTGAGAAGCATCCGAATCCACGAGCAATTCCTGGACAGTGTCCATGTGGAGACAGCTGAGGTAGCTGTCCCAGTACACAGGACTGCTGATACACCACTGGTGGAGGAGGAGATGGCTCAGGGTGGACACTGGCAGCTGGTTTCTTCTGGCAGCAGGCAGTGCTCCACCCCTACTCCGAACCCTCCCGCTGTAGTAATAGGTAACCGTTATGCTCTTCTTGATACAGGAAAGAAGGCATCACCCCCTACAGTAAAGGAGGAGAAGCCTCGTACCCCTAAGGCTGGGAGGTCTGCTGCCACCACTGCGAATAGGAAACATAGGGTAGTGGTGGTCGGAGACTCTCTGCTGAGGGGGACGGAGGCGCCCATCTGTCGCCCTGACATTTCATCTCGGGAGGTATGCTGCCTGTCGGGAGCCCGTATCCGAGACGTTACGGAGGCATTGTCGAGGATTATCCAGCCCTCTGACTACTACCCCATGCTACTCATCCATGTGGGCACAAATGATACTGCGCGGTGTGACACTGAGCGGATCAAGAGTGACTACAGGGGTCTGGGAGTACGGGTGAAGGAGTTTGGAGCGCAGGTGGTATTCTCTTCGATTCTTCCTGTCAAAGGTAGGGGCCCGGGCAGAGACAGATGCATCCTGGAGGTGAATGCCTGGCTGCGAAGATGGTGTCGCCAGGAGGGCTTTGGCTTCCTAGACCACGGGATGCTATTTGAGGAAGGACTGTTAGGCAGAGATGGCGTTCACCTTTCGAGGAGGGGAAAGACCCTATTTGGACACAGACTGGCTAACCTAGTGAGGAGGGCTTTAAACTAGGTTCGATGGGGACAGGTGAGCAAAGCCCGCAGGTAAGTGGTGAACATGGAGACCTGGGAGATGGGTCGGAAACGAGAGGGAGTGTAGGCTATATTGGCAGAGAGAAAGGAGGGTCAGGACAAAACTGGGAGGAAAGATCAAACCAGTATCTTAGATGCCTATATACCAATGCGAGAAGTATGGGTAATAAGCAGGAAGAACTGGAAGTGCTAATAAATAAATACAACTATGACATTGTTGGCATCACTGAAACTTGGTGGGATAATACACATGATTGGAATGTTGGTGTGGATGGATACAGCTTGCTCAGGAAGGATAGACAGGGGGAAAAGGGAGGAGGTGTTGCCTTATATATTAAAAATGTACACACTTGGACTGAGGTAGAGATGGACATAGGAGATGGAAGTGTTGAGAGTCTCTGGGTTAGGCTAAAAGGGGTAAAAAACAAGGGTGATGTCATGCTAGGAGTCTACTACAGGCCACCTAACCAGGTGGAAGAGG